GAAAGTGTCGATGCGGCAAAGCCAATTCGTCGAAGATACTCTTGAAAAGTTTGGCATGGAGAACAGCAATCCGGTCAAGACACCTCAAGACTCAGGACGCAAGTTAACAAAAATTATTTGCGAAGGAGATTGCAATCATGCAGAGACGATGGCAAACGCACCTTACCGGAACGCGGTTCGATGTCTTATGTATCTTATGGTATGTACTCGTACTGACCTTGCTGCTGCAGTGGGAATGCTTAGTCAGTTTGCAGCCGACCCATGTCCAACACACTTACAGGCACTAAAAAGGTTGATTCGATACATTTAAAAAACGAAGACGCACGAAAACTAATTTATAAGCAAGTGGTAACCCCCAATTACAATGATACTCGGATGCGGACTGGGCCGGCGACATTGAGTCTCGACGAAGCACAAGTGGTTACACGTTCATGATTAACGGTGAAAACATTATGTGGAGAAGAAAAAAGCAGCGAACTGTCGTCCTATTATCAACAGAAGTAGAATAAATGGCACTTGCGAAAAATCTACGCAGGAGGCTGTGTGACGAAAAGTATTTTTGTGCAAACTTGGATAAATGGCAATTGATGAAGCTGTCATAATCTACGAAGACAACCAAGGCTCGATTGAATTGGCCAAGAATCTGGAGTTTCACAAGAGCACTAAACATATTGACATTCGTTCTCACTTTGTATGCGAGAAGATTGCAGACGGTCAAGTTATGGTTCAGTACTGTCCAACAAAAGACATGAAGGCAGACCTTATGACGAAGCAGATCTTGGCTTTGCAGTTCGAATATCACCAGGATATGCTAGGATTCAAGGCGTCATGTCGCTAACGAGTCGAGTGGTAGTGTCGTCAAGACGTCTCGTTCTACATGATTGACTGATGATTGACTTATTGATAGATTGACTTATTGGCTGAATATTTGATGAGCGACTTATTGATTGATTGCTGATTGATGGAAGCCTAATAGCAGCAAAAGCGTTTGTCAACCAGTGACCTCAATATATTCACTTTGCATTTTCCATCAAACGGCCAGACGTTATTTCATCGAGTAGCACCCCCCCCATCAATCTACCAGCTATCGGAAGCGGTCTCCCTACCCCAGCAGTTCGGGAGCAAATAAAGGCCCTGCGGTTGATATCCCTGATACATCAAGGAAAAGGCCGGTGTCGAGAATCTCCCCTGAATAATTTGTTTATAAGCCTAACTCAACCTAGTTGACCAAGCGGTCATCTACTAGCGTACCGAGTGAATTATATCCACTCGAGGCACCCCAAGGTTGACCTCTTTCAAGCCTATATCGAATCTCCGCCAATTCTTCTGATGAGTGCAACCCGCCAGCCTACGGGTATACAAGGTTAGAGAAAAGGTTCATACGCAGCATTGGGGTACCCCCTCCAACAGTCGGCAATCTGGTATAGTGAGTGGCTTGGAGTCTCATACCGCAATTTGATAGCCCACTTCACCACAATATCAAGTGCGCGTTCTGGTTCACAGAGTGTCGGTTAACACAGTGAAAGCCGTTCTATTATCGATAGTGTCTTGCTCAGTAACCTCAGTTACCCGTGGATGCCCTATCGCTTCCAAGGATTATGACTCAAACCTTTTTGAGGCAATCTTTTGCACTGCTGAGTGTTTCGGCCAGCTCAAGTTGGTGACACATATCTCGGCAGCGGGAAGATTCTTGTTTTGTATCATCATCGACAGTTCCAACGAGTTTATGCTTCATCTGCTACTCTGCTTCTCATTTGAGTGCAAAATTCACTACACGCCACGGCGATGTATTGCATGATCATCACAGGAAGTTTAAGGGGGTGGTTCGCGCAGCCCAGCATGAAACTTCGCTAACATTTGACCCCCTTAACGTTACAGACTGGCGGATGGATTTCGATGGGTTAGTGCAAGGCCTAAACGTCCTGTTCGTCTGAATTTGCGACTCTTGTCAGTACATTCCCTATCGCGGTTCTTTATCTCGAAAACATGCCCAGTGATTTACTTCTCAATTTAGTCATGACATTAACAGCGAGGCCCAGCTATCCATCATTTGGCAGTACGACGACGAGCATATTCGCGAGTTTTGCACGGGATGGGCAGCGACGTCGGGTGGTCAGCGTGGCAAGATTAGATGAGCAACAACCGACTCCATCCAACGGTGGCGTCGGGTGCGGAGATGCGTTCGGATTTTCTATGCGTGACTGTCGTCAAACCCCTGTCAAACATCGATTACTGGGCGTGTTGAACATCTTGTGCGTAGTATTGCTGTATCTTGCTCCTATGGATGTGGAGTCGAATGTTTTGCTACCCATTCCAACAAGGATCCCCAAACGATTCGAGAACTTCTAACGCGGTCTTGATACTGTCGAACCCCATGGAAAAAAGGTCTTCTGGCTCGAACCTCCCCGCGACCCATGCCGCCTTTCAGAGGAGGGTCACTAGCGCGGTGATCACGTCTGTCGCCGTCCGCAGCTTGGAAAGAGTCGACACATGTCCACTGAGCTGACCCAGCAATCAGATCTCGAGGATCTTGGTGACGGGGTCGCTCTCCAAGAGCGCATCGATCTTGAGTCGGTGGTAAGCCATGGTCACTTCAGAGTCCGACCAGGACGAAGGTCCTGAGGTTGCGGGGACTACCGACTTGATTCACCTGGCGTCTTCGTCCTGAAATTGCTCGGCTTGGACATGGCGATCTTTTTTTGTAGTTTTGTAGTTTGTTGTTTTTTGAGGACCATAGTCTATCGGTTTACACCTTCGACTGATGGCTCTCTGGGGATGATAGATATCATGACCCAAGGTTTCCTCGACGAGGCCATAGGGACGGTATTTCGGTTTCCCTACAATTATTTCAACCTTGACCATAGATATCGTACCCCTCCCAAGGCCCGGTCGGTACTTTGATCCTTTGTTGTTTCCTTCTGTAGTCACTGGCCATCGGTCTTTCAGTGATTCTTCGGTCTTTTTTTAATCTTTGCTTGAACATCTTCATCGTCTTGGAACTCGCGGTGCTATCGCGCGTCTTCCGAAATCCGAGTACGCGCATCATAATGGTGGAGTGGTCTATCAAAACTGAGTAATGAGACCCCAAGCCATTCACTGTGCCGGGCTGCCGACTACTGGAAGGGGTACCCCGATGCCGCGTATGGACCTTCTCTCACCTTTTGTACCCGTCGGCTGGCGGGTTGCACTCTTCAGAAGACTCGGTAAAGATTCAATGTAGTCTTGAAAGAGGTCGACATTGGGCTGCCTTGAGTGGATATAACTCACTCGGTAGGCTAGTAGGTGGCCACTCGGTCGACTAGGTCGAGGGTGGGCTTATTCCCAAATTATTTAGGGGAGATTCTCAACCCTGACCTTTTCCTTGATATCTCAGGGGCCTTTACTTGCTCCCAAACCGCTAGGGTAGGGAGATCGCTTCCGATGGCTGGTAGAACGGGGGGGTCCTGCTAAGACAAACACACAGGTCAAATATATATTGGGTCTCGCATCGCGCTTAAGTCTTACTACACGACTGTCTTCGACGGTAGGGCACAATATGTCCCTACCTGAACAGGATGGTGGACTTATACAAGCTCCTTACAAGCACGACGAAGGCTTTCCTCATAGATTGCAAATTGAGTAGTTTTTAATGTAGCCCTATCTTTTAACTCCTTTACTCTATCTTGGCCCTGAGACCTATTTATTGATTCTGATTGGCTAGGGGAGCTTGACCTCGGGACCGAGGTCATCGCCAAGGTTCACCACGTAGGACCGAGGACCAAGGACCAGAGCCGACCCCAGAGACTAGGGTCTAGGATCTACCTTGATAGACCGACCGAAGTCAACCGAAAAAGGTCCGTCGAGGGCCCACCGACGAAGGACCGAGATCCACGTTGAAGGACCGGAAGCTACCGATGATGGATCGAGACCCACCTTAAAGACCAAGTCTATCAATGATAGACCATGGTCGACTATGGTAGTCCTTGAAAGACCGTGGTCTACCAATGATAGACCAAGGTTGACCTTAAAGTACCGTGGTTAACCTTGAGTGAGATCGGTCCACCGGGGTTAGACGCGGTTCGCTACTTAGAATGGTGACCAACCGGTTACCTTTCAGCGGGATTTGACCGCTAATTCTTTCATTTAACGGCCGTTTACACCTTTTTGGCACCATTTCTTTTTGGTCCATCGCCCAACGGTCGCTTCTCTTTGGTGGGCCTCTTTCTCCCTGGCCCACTAGTCCTTGCTTCTCACACATTTTAACGCGCATTAGCACGATATTGCAATAAATCGCGCCCATTCGGAAAATCAATGATGGATTCAGCCGGGATGTCTTCGCGCTCCAAAGTCGATGGACACAAGAGCCTTAACGTTGCGCCACGATATAAATTGTCTTGGAGTTCCAACCCGCAGCCGCCGCTCGATCCGTCAGCACAAAGTCCATACGACGAGTTGCTGCGTCATAGCTGGTGTGCTTGTAATTCTTGACTAGACCCCGGACAAGGGGATCTTCCGCGAGGTCCTCGAGTAGTTAAAGGAGTAGCGTCTTCTCAGCAATATGCTTGGTAATGCGCACGTAAGGCGGAACCACTGCGATAGCCTTGCCCTCCAGGTACGTTTCGAGATAATTGAGCATCGCCACTCGCGCTGCGCGTGGGTGCGTACAAGCAAGGAATCCAGGAGGCGACGGCAGAACAATTCCACCCATTACCCATGCAGCCAGCGCTTTTTCTTGAGCGAAATCATCGGTCGCATGCCATCATCTATAATGGGGCAACCCATTATAATAAGTAGCAATAGGTTTTGTTACATAATGACATAAGTAGGATCCGAATAGCGGATACTACACGTTATTTTCTGTTGCGCTATTATTGGGGTGCCAGACCCAATAATTAGCCAATAGTAAATCGACCCACTTTGAGCCCCTTCGTACTTAGTGCGAATTAAAAACAAAAATATAAACAAAGTTAATTTTACCTTACACAAGAACAGCGCTTCCTCAAGTTCCTTATAATGGGCTCTCACCTCGTCATATTGTCTGCCTTTTCCTTCCTTTCACAGGTCGCTGTCCGGATCAGCACACAATTGCGGTCGGCGGATTTGCTGGCTTCCAAGACGGCTGACGCGTAGCTACGTGAAGCTGTCGGGTTAGGTGTGACGCCGGGACCGCCTTTCCCATCGAGCGCTTGGTCGGGAAAGGCGTGCAAATCCGGCATCGTTACATCGTTTTGTCCCCGGCTCGTGTAAGATGGGTGACCGCCCCCCTGATCCGCGTGAAGCATGGGCTCGTCAGGACCACCGCGCGTATACGTCGCCTGCTCTGCCTGAGTCGCCAGTATGTACGTAACCTGATCGTATTCACCTAGAGTACCGTGCGGTAAGTGATCATTACTATGCATCTCACTGCCTTCGGCGGTGCTCATACCTGTGTCGGCACACTTCCTCGTGCCAGAGTGTATCGTTTGCGTGATAAGACGCAAATTTGGAAGTATTTCATACAATACGAAGTTGGAAAGACATTATGAGAAACGCAACTTTGTTGCAAAATCAAATCAACTTATAAAGTAAACTGCCACCTTCTCGTCTTTTAACTTTCTCATAGATTTTGACGCCGCGGCGAGCACATCGACGTACCAATGTTACCAATATATTTTGCTGCGCACGATCAAGGTGCTTTAGCTTTTCGTTGATTTTCCTTGTGAATAAACATCGTGTGGTATCTTTTCAGCAAATTCTCAGCCGGTACCCTCTTCTCGATGTCCTCTGTTGAGAGAAGCGCATCTTCGAGCCTGTCTACTTGCGTAATATGCATTGAGTCATTTTATCTAACACTACGTGCATGGCTTCTTCCGCATGTTCTGTGGACGTTTAATGCATTATCGATCCATTCGATCAAGACGCTTTATAATCATTAACATTCATCCGATTAAACAACGATTCGGCTTGTTGCGATGTCTCCTCAAGGTTGGAAGTCAGCACAACCGGTTCAGCAGCAACAATATTTTCCACAGGAATATAGAGCCTTTCCTTAAAATTGTAGGTATGGCCATTACCTATCATCGCGGCATTAGGCCGCAATTTTACTCGACTGAGGTACTGGTATCAGCCGCATTTGGCAAGTTTGACGCGCGTAAGAACCTCATTATAATGTCCTTAGACATCAAATTTTTCGGGGCCACGCCCTTTGTTGCTAATGCGAAGAGAGCGACAGCAGTCGGCATTTCTCATAGGCAAGCTTCGACTCAGCAAACATCTTAAAGGTGAAGACGGTCAGGTTGGCAGTAAAATGCAAAATGAATAGGAGATAAAAGACCTGTAGCTGGACCAGGAATTAGATGCCATCTGTAGCCGAGCTTCTGTAGCCAAGCTATTTATGAACTATTTGCAGAGGAAGACAAGCTCAGATAGCTTTTACGTCTTAAGGTTATTAATCCTGCCAAGGCTAGCTTGCAAGCTTATGCCTTTTGGTTGTGAACAGCCGTGTTTCTAAGAGACTAAGTATCAAAGGCACAATTCCTGTAAGAAATAGAACGCTCTAGCAACTAGTGCTATACAGAGCAGGTTTGAAACTGAGTTATATGTATGTTTATCTTCTAGCACTAAATATAGAAGCACCTACTCTATAATCAGTGCTAGTCACTACTGGCTCTGTAGCCTATTATTATTATGCAAACATGTATAGTCAATATACTTTAAATAAGTATCGTGACCACGTGGCTCTCTGCCACGATGCGACCCTTCGTACTTAGGTACGGTCGCATCAAGCCTTCTCTTGTACCCAAGTTACAGTCACACCACATTGGTGTGGCAAGTGTGTATGTAAAATACACCCTCCCCCCACCAATCCGTGGGACCCGACGTACCTTGTCGCACTTAATTGGAGGCATCGATTTCATTTTCTTCTCATTTTTCTTACCTCGCAATAAGTGCTTGCACTTGCGAACAAAGCTCCTGTGTTTTTAGCACTTGCTCTTTAAGCACTCGAGCATTGCACACACGCTTTATTAGCATCCTTGTGTTTCGACACTCGCTCTTGGAGCATATAGTGCATCGCACTCACGCTAAGCATTAAGCGTTACGACACTTGCTTATAAGCGTTAAGTGCCAAGCACTTGGTATTATTAATACCCGTTGTGTGTTTATGAACACTTGCTTTTACAGCATTATGTGCCTAGCACTTGCTTTAAAGCATTACAGTGCCCACAACACTTGCTTATAAGCATGACAGTGTTCACAACACTTGCTTTTGAGCATTACAGTGTTCACAACACTTGATTTTGAGCATTACAGTGTTCACAACACTTGTTTTATAAAGCACTTGTCTCGATAGCACATGCTCCATCATGGATGAAGCAACGCGTCACGACATTTTTGGGTCGATGCCAGTGACGTTGCCTTTACGGACGGCGGAGCTGGGTCACCTTCGGGCCCAAGTAACCCAAGATCATTACGCTCACCGAGCGAGGAACGTCGATCCCATTCTATGTCTTTCCCTTCAAAAGAGACAGCCCCTTTGCGCCAAGCGCCTCCTCTTCCCTCGCGAGAGGGTACAGACGAAGATGTAACCAGCCCTCTTGATGCTGCACAGCGTCGTCAACGCGATGACGAGGCCCGAGCGGCCGCTTTAGCACGGCCCAAACAAACGTTTTCGCGACGTGATTATGAAATCGTGCCCCAAGACCCCAATGAAGAAGCTCGACGAGCTGCATCGCAATCTTTGCGAACCTATATCATTGGGTCTCATGCCCGTACGGCCTGCGAGAATGCAGATAGTGTTGCTCTTTGTGAGCGGCTCCTTACTCCCCAGGAGTTTACGATGAAATTGTATCAGGAGTGACTGTCAAGACTGTCACGACAGTCACTTGGGGTGCCTGTGCACCCACTGAACGGCATACCAGTGGTGCTTGCACCAGGTGAAACATCTGCACAAGATGATCACCAGTTCACCCGTTGGGTAGAACGAGCGTGTAAGCTCAAGTCTTTCTAGCTTGCGTTTAAGCGCTAAAGCTTAAGACGTTTGATTAGAACGTCTTCTATGTTTTAACTTCGCCAAGCTCAAAGCGAAACGTCAATTACCTTTTATATACAGGTCAAAGACTTGTGGGGAGTAAGCTTCTGAAGCGGTTGCCCGTACCTCTCACTCAAGTGATGTGCCGGCGTCGGCTTCTTCTGAAGGTCAGAGGCGAAGCCAGCCTACTGACCTTGCTTCCACAGCACCTAGTGCTAGGAAGCGTCCGGCGACAGCTGTCGTCACTTCTGACCGTCCTGGTCAAAAGAGTCAACGGCTTCAGGGCAATCCTGCCGGACAGTCGTACGACTCGGGATAACCCCTCCACTTCACCAAGTATTGGGTATACCCAGATGACGACGCCGGGCGTTCCATGTGGAACTTTTGATGACCCTGGTCATCAATCAACGTCGGAGGAGGTCGATGACCCATTGACCTCTCATCTCTCTGAGATCGAGCGTCGCCTGACACTCCTGGGGCGTGATGTCCTTGAATCGGTAAGGTCTCACCTGTCATCGCTTGATGACCGTGTCGATCGACACCGTCTGTCCTTTGAGCGTTACCGCTCTGAGAACTCGGATCACTTAACGGCGATTGAGCTTTCTCAAGCCGAACTGCGATGTCAGATCGACCTCTTGGTACGCCTTTAGCGTCCATATGCACCTTCGGTGCAGTACTTCCCGCCTCCTTCGGCCGGGGGATTCGGGGACAACCCCTCGAAGTCCACCAATGCAGGGTTGAAGTATAGCTTTAGCAAGACCACGTTGAACACAGGATGTGTTCTCATCTTCTTCGAAAGGTTCAACGTATAGGCTAAACCTTTATTTCTTGTGACCTTGAAAGGTCCAATAAGTGTGGACGTAGTTTGGTTTTATGTACCGCAGACACTGCACGGGTAGGTAAATTCCTAGCGTTTAATAAACCAAATCACCCACATTGAACTCATGTTCGTTCTTCCTGCCTTTGGCATGCGCGTGTTCTTTCCAAAAATCCTGGATTGCAGCCATAGCGTCTTTGACGCGATGTAATACGTCAAAACGCGTTGACAGAAACCACCTTTTTACGCATAGCAACAGGACTGATATCAGCCAAGCCTTCGGCTATCTCTCCCCCGCTTAGCCCTGAAGCGGCAGAGGGTAGCGTTAAAGGAACGCGGGGGTTGACCAAACCATTTACATAGAATGAGGTGAAGCCTTTCGAGGCATGCACCGCGTTGTTCAACGCAAACTCTACCAGAGGGAGCATCGCGCTTCATTGCTTGGGTGTTTCAGCACAAAAACTGCGAAGCATATCACCAATAACGCGGTTGACACGTTCAGTCTGACCATCGGTCTGCGGATGATCCGCCGTGGACATGTCCAGTCGAGTGCCCAGCACTATAATGACTGACGTCCAAAACTTCCCCGTAAAACGGGGGTCTCTATCCGAGACGATTGCCACAGGCAATCCGTGTTGTCGAAACACACGATCCATGATTAGAGTAGCAGTTCCTTATCCATCAACGAAGTCTGTCGCTGCCGCTAGATGAGCCATCTTGCTCAGTCCGTCAACAAAGACCACAATCCTAGTGTTGCCTGCCGCATTCACGCGGTAGGCCAAGCACAAAGTCCATACTAATGGACTGCTACAACCCGAGGGTACAGGCAAGCTCGCCAAAGGCGCAGCCATATTAGGCGAGGGCTTCACCCTTTGACACGTTTTACACGTGCGTACGTAGGTACCAACCCATTTGTACAACTTGGGCCACCAATAATGGGTGCTCACCGAGCTGTAGGTCTTCTCACGACCTAAATGACCATCAAGTGGTGTATCATGAGCCTCATAAAGTATCTGATACTTGAGGTCCTCATCATGAGGCACCACAACACGAGGCTGGTCATCCGACCCTGTACTATAGTACAGCAGACCATCGGTCAGTGCTTAACGATGTAATCTTGCACGATTACGTGGTGACAACTTCACCTTAGAGTTTTCAAACTCTGCGCTACCCAGCGCCTGCAAAATGGCAACACATGCCTCATCGCGTGCATACGCCATACGGATACGATCCGTTACTGACGAACTCACAACAGTGAAATGAGCAAGCTCATAGTCAGGTCTACGCGATAACGCGTCCGCCAAAACATTCTGTTTTTCCTGCTTATACTTCACCTCGAAGTTAAACTCCGCGAAAAAGGAGAGCCAGCAAGCCATTCTCTGCGAGAGATGAGGCGACTGTGTTGCTGTGCGTAACGACGCATGATCTGTAGAGATCACAAACGGCTTTGAGCCCAACAGGTGTACCCTCAACTTAACAAGGGCATACTTCATCGCAAGTAGCTCCTTGTCATAAACTGGATAGTTCTTCTCTGCAGCTTTCAGCTGGTGAGACACAAACGCGATGACGCGTTCTCGATCCTCAGAGTCAACTTATAAGAGTGCACTGCCAATGGCGAAGTCCGAAGCGTCACATACGACGCTAAACGGGCGACCAGGATCAGGTAGAGCCATAATTGGCGCCTGAAGGAGACTCTCCTTAACGGCTTCAAAAGCCTCGTGGTGCTCACTGTTCCAACACCATTCCATATCCTTTTTAAAGAGATTGGACAATGGCCTAGCCACTTCCGCATAGTTGTGGCTATACTGTGCAGGTAATTTGCCAAGCCTAACCACTTGCGGAGGTCTTTCTGGTTACTCGGAACCGGCCGATCCACTATGTCTTTGACCTTAACAAGGTCTGCCCGGATTCCTCGCTTCCGATGAAGCATCCCAAAAAGAGAATCTCTTCCGCATTGAAAATGCATTTGCAATATTGGCATACAAATTATGCATCCTCATGCAGCTGAGCACAACTCGCACGTGCTCGATGTGGTTCTCCACATCAGTCTTGCCATTTTCGGCTCGACTATGGACGAATACATCGTCAAAGTATGTCTCTGCATACACCTTATGGGCCAAACAACTGCGTCACTAGACGATTGACGTTGCAGGTGCGTAAGATAGTCCTTGGGGAATCACTAACCACTTCTAGAGCATAACGCTCGGAGTGCTGACCGCTGTCAGCGGGATATCACTAGCTCGCATGAGCAGTTGGTAATATCTATCGACTAAGTCGAGGGCACTGTACATCGTACATCCACCATATTGTTCTGAAGAACATCCTTGCGAGGAATCGGTGTTTGAGCCGGGATAGTGGCTGCATTTAGCTTATTGTAAGCATGCACTATTCGCCACTTCCCATTAGGCTTTTTCACACAAAACGTGGGCATAGAGCGAGTAGCCTTACTCTCACGCACCATGCCAGCCGCGTGCACACGAAAGAACTCGTCAATGACGTCACATTGTTCTCGTGGCAGCGGCCACTGTCGCGTCACACAGTATTTGGTTCCTGGAACCAAGTCAATCTCATGACGTACACCTCTATCCGGAGGTAACCTCGTCGGAGGTTCTCTGGAGACAACATCTCCATATTCCTTCAACAAAGGAAAATAAGGATCCGAAGGGTCCGTCAGAATATGCGATCCACTACGCGCATTCGGCGCCTTCTTGGTATCTTCAAGAACTGCTTTATCCAAAAGGAGTGAGGAGTTCAACTCCTCCTCAGGTCGTATAACGACCACTTCGGCGATGTCGCCTGCCCGTAAGGAAATGCCAAACTCGGCAAAGGACAACTCGTCCAGATCTAGCAGAGCACTTACTGCGGGTACAGCTGAAAGAGCCACCGGCTCTTCAACATCCCCAGTCAAACCATTGACGAGTGTATATAGCTGTTCGCTATCACTGTCACTCACGATATCATCATCGCTACTCATGATGCTTTCAGCATCCGACGCATCAGCGTCCACAGGTGTACACACCTCAAGGTCAAAGACAACTTCGTTTACTGACTGCAACCCCACCCTCTTGGGTCAATGCCTCGTCATGAGGTGCTCGCACCTCGTTGTCCTCAAAGACAACCGTCATTTTTGGCTTCACCCAACTCTCTTGGGCCAGTACCTCGTCACTAGGTGCTTGCACCTCGTTATCCTCAAATACAACATCCATTGATGACTTCACCCGGCCCTCCAGGGTCAGTTCCTCGTCACTCATGTCCCTTGGACTCATGTCCTGACATTTGGCTTGCAACCACCAACATCACTCACGGTGTTTAATGACGTAACATCATTCTCATGACACATGTCATATGTGCCATCTAGTGGATTCTAAACCACACTATCGATAGTCATTGGGCCTCGCCCAGGAGTATTGTCCTCGAAACTTACAGTGTCTACAAAGTCGGACAACATATTGACCGACTCGGTCCAATATCTGCGCCAAAAGCGCTTTTGCTTCATAGCAGAGGTGGGTTCATGACTCTCCAGAGCCCCACCAGGAGCATTGCGCGTTGCGCCTAAGGTCTTCGACCTCCAATCAATACATGGCTCATGACGTTCTAGCTATGCCATGCCTAGGATGAAGACATACCTCGCATTCAGGTCTAAGACCAAACAGCGTTTCATGCTGTTAAAGTCCAAGAACTTTACATTTAAGTCCATCGGGACTTTGGGTACCGTAACACGCGTACCCGTCGCTAAGCGAACTGTGGCTGTGTCACTTTCACGCGCTGCAAGCGCTTCAGCATACTTCTGACTACCTTCAACGGTGGCACGGTGCACATAATTGCCAGATGCGCCCAAATCGATCAAAATGATCCATGACTTATCATAGCCCTTAGCTGTCCCTTTGACGACTAGCAATCCTGGCTTGCATTCTCGTTCCGTTTTTGAGAGTTCGGATCTCTTTGGGGCTGGGTCCTGTTTACTTCTACCTCCTGGAGTTTCAACAGAACTCAGTTCTTCCCCAGTAGGGCGCCCCGCGCCTACTGGGTTCCGCCGTTTCCCCGCAGCAAACCAGGAGGTTTACCCATGGGGCGTCGGCCCTTCAAGGCCAAATATGCCTTTTTGCAGGGCATTTTGCCATCAAATGGCCTGTGCTTTTGCAGATATAACACCAATGTGGTGTGGAAGGTGTGTATATACAATACAGACCTTCAGTGTAACCCCGTTACAGGAAAACTGACACATGGCCACAGCCATTATGATTACATGCATTGGCTCCAGAAAGCGGGTGAATACTATCCAATACGCACTTCATAAGAAAAAGGTTGCCAGGGTTGATAGTCTGAACGCTTTTGATAGATAAGGTTTAACCATTGTCCCGCGACGCAGTGTACAGGAGTGACGGATATATGTTATCGCGCTCGTTTGGTTGTTTAATGGATATTTGTGAGAACGAGTAAATTTTGCAGCATGGACATCATGAATAATTAAACAATGTCAATGTACCTGTTTAGCCATGAGATAACGCTCTGAGTTCTCTCCCCTTTGTCGATGATTGCAATTTCCTGCATGTGAGTTATAGATGCAAATATATTTACATCTTTATTGAACTAGCATAACAGCTTGCATTTAAAAATTCCTACGTCTAATTCATTGTATTATTGAGGCGTTCTACCACTTGAACGTGTCCGACTTGTAATGCACTATTGGCATAACCTGGATGTGCGAATTGCCTCGCATTTAATACAAAACCATCAAGTGACGATGATTAAAGCGTCTCTAAAAACAAAGCAACACATTCGAAACATCATCTTGAGCACATCGGAAGTGGCTAGCGTCAGTAGCTATTTGGATGGACACCTCCCGGTCGATAATTGCAAGTTTAGGCTTAAGCTACGTAGACGTCACAGTTGTTTTTGTACCTTCAAAGCTCGACTTGCTATACGAGCTTGCAAGAGTTTGTACAGATTAGCAGATGTGCACCGTACATTTTTGTAAAAAAGAAGAGTAGGTAGGTGGCAGCTTGCATCTGTGAAGGCTTCGTAATAAAGCAGGCTTTTCCACTTCGTATTATATGAATTTGATTGTCATATCCACATCATTTGGACTACTGTGTACGATGTGGTACATTGCAGAATAGCAAAGCCCAACAACAAGTGAAAACGCACCTTCTTGCTATCGACCACATCATATCGCGAGTGGTTGCAATCTGCTTCACAGAGGCCCAATCTCTTCGACGAGTGAAAATATACCTCGTGGTATCTATCCTCTCAATATATTGCCAAGATAGATACGACAACTTATACATTCACTTGTTGTTCCTACTGATGTCAATGGTTTGGCGTCGCAAGTGGCGAGACATTCCTCGATTTAGACATCAACCTTTTAGATAAATTCCTCCTTCACAGCCTAGACTGCGGAGAGAGACGACGTGGCATGGAGGCTGCATTGCAGGCTTTTGCAACAGAGCTTTTGTAGGATTAGAGCTACCATTTGACCTCGAGTACAGAGTGAACGCGGTGTCGAACGCTTGTGAAACAAAGTAAGCTGGTACATGTGTGCCAATGAATGCATAAGAGCTATTAACCTTTGATACACGCGGTGCCTGCACAGTGGCAAACTCGTATGTTTAGTTTTCGTAACTCTGTTGAATATGCAGAGTTAGAACTCGTTGGACGAAGTTACAGCATAGCACTGTAACTTTGAAGCTGCTAAAAAAACCTGCCTGAAAAAATCGTGGTTCTTGACAAAGCCCATCAAACAAGTAGTACTACTACAGTCTGCTTTGATTCCGCAACCATCATACTGATCTTCATGGGTTTTGTCCTGGTAATGCCAACTGTTAAAATGTATCTAAAAAAGTAAATTAGGTATATTCCCTGGTTAAGTAAAAATGTACAAACCTTTATTTTAATTCCTTATTTCACATATAAAGGGTTTATTAGTTGACAAAGCTGTGGTTTTTCGAAGTAGCGTCGCTCATAATCATTTAGCATTCACGAAGGTTATTTGTTTTTGAAAGTATTATTTTGAATAGGGTTCACAATAGGTTTTCCAACACCTTTTCATTTCCAGCCGTCTACTTCATATCGTCACTTCAAAAAAAAGCCGCGCTGCGTGAGATGTCTAAGACGAATGTGGGGGTGCCAATCTCATTGCTACACGAGGGTGAGGGTCGCACGGTAACCGTGGAGCTTAAAAATGGCGAGGTGTATCGTGGTCATCTGGTGGAAAGTGAGGACAGTATGAACTGCCAACTGAGCGACGTAGTGCTAACGCAGCGCGATGGGCAGAAGTCCAAGTTGGAGCTTGTATACGTGCGCGGATCTCAGATTAAGCTGGTCATTCTACCGGATATTCTTAAAAATTCGCCATTGCTGGGTAAAGTGCAGGCATTAAGTAAGAAGAATGAAGATCAGAAGAAGAAGAAGGTTTCGGGTAAGTCTCAAGGCCGCAAAGGAGGTAAACGCACAGGTCCTGGAGCCATGCGCAAGTAGAAAAGAGCATAAGAAGCTGAGGAGCAGAGACACACAACTGCATCAAAGACGCAGGTTTTACCATGAGCTACGGCCGGTCTCAGAAACGGTTGGATGTGCCGATACTAGCGTCTTAGAGCTGCTGAAACTTGGTCTTCCTTGATACTAGATTGAACTTATACAAAGACGACGCGACTCTTTATTGCTTCTTGCGCACTTGTTGCTCATGCTCTGGCACTTGTGTTTGATCGCTGGTTGCTGGCACGATAAGCTTGATTGAAAATAGTTGTGTCTTACTCTTTTCCTCATCATTTTTGCTCAAAACGACGAGTTAAGCAGTTTTACATGTACACGACAGTAATCACATCTCCGAAATCTTCTACTGGCTCAATTTTACAGACAACAAAGTGGCAAAAGCAGAGCTGGTGGCAAAAGACATAGTGCCACCGGTAACGATAACCCACAAGTGCAGACGCTGATCAGACAGCAGATAAAGATCATAATCCACAAGAGGATGGAGACGCTAAAGCAGCCGCCTTGCAGTCGTCGCGCCAAGTCCAGCGTAGCATGGTCCTGGATACCATAGTCCATCAGAGACCACGATGTACGCAGCGGCACACCGCCGTAGTTAAGATATCCACAGCTGCAAAGATGTGGTTCTTTTGCCTCGACTAATGACAACAGTTCCTGCACTTTAGCTCGTGGGTTCGCCACTGCGACAGTCAACATGCGTCCGGCCTCCTGTACCGTCACAAATAGGTAAAGTCAACGCTTAAGACTGTTTTTAAATGAAACAAATCATAGTATGATGATACAACAATGCACGCCACACGCACCGAACGAATGAAGAGCTGCATCTTGTGTCCTAGGCAATCAAGTTTTGTATAGAGAAGAAAAAGAAGAATGTTCTCATTCAAGTTTCTTTTTTCTTTCTATGTTATTTTTCGTGCTTGTGTCCTTCACGCAACATCATGCTACAGACAACATTGCTGGATAAAACAAAATCCAACTATTTAGACATTTTTGACCAAAAAATAGGAACGCAATTATCCAACGGCTGTTTGTTGTGTTGTTATTAACGACAGAGGAGACTGATATGAGGAAAGCATTCTAGCAAGCAGCAAATAATGAGTGCGCCCTGATAGCATACACACTTGCTCGTTCAGCAACTATGTTTTAATTTCTTCAGATCATACGCTGCTGCATGCCATGGACTTCTTCCTACTTTCTCGGACTCTGGTGTTGCTCGTACGTGGACTTCTCCGCCGTGTGTAGTCCATTCGACGGGTTGTCGAAGTTGGATTCTAATGTCATTTTCGTTTTGTGTTGTCGCTGTCGCCTAATCTTTAATGCGTGCGCGTTGACGAGTTTGATCTGCTTTTGATACTTCTATGCGTCCACTTGTGGCTCTTGTCCACTCGAGGTCTTATTCAACTCGCTGCTCCGGGATTCGCTCAAAGCGTCGGTTATTTAAAGTGCCACAGCTCATATTCTTTGGCGGACCGATGCGGATGGACCCGCGGTAGCTACCCCCCAGCAAACGTGTTCTGAGGCATACCGATTTGTGCACGCCTCTCACGCGTGCAAATGTAGTGTCCGGCAAGTCCGTCGGCCGGGGCCAGATAACCAAGAGTAACTGTACGCCGCGGGCCTTCGCGCACTGATGGAAGACCTTCCACTGGTAGCACGGGGTCGATCTTGAAGCTCTCGTCATTCGAAATCAGTACCAACTCAATGTTGAACATACTCGCCACCGCATACAATTCAACAGTCGTAGCCTGCTCGCCTGGTGTGTCTCTAAAAGTCTCATATTGCTCTTTCACATCCTCCTCATTTTGCATCAGAAAGCCCGCTAGAACCTTAATATGTTCCAGCGCGTATTCCATCAGCTTCACTCTTAAAAACTGCGCTGCTGCCACTCGTCGTGGTGCCATACCGTCTGCCGCACCTACATTTACTACCGTCATACTTGACGGGCAGTCGCGTAGACACTGAAGCGGATACATCTCATACACAATGCAGTGTAACAAACAAGATCCATCGGGCGGCATACCAACACCCACAAGTCCCATCTGCACCAGTTGGTCCTCCATCTTTGCTCGTTGCATATCCAGCTCAGGCGTAATAACATCAGGTGCTGTCATAGCCATCATCGATCCCTTCGAGACTGACGCCATTGACGCATGGCCAGCAGTGTCCGGCCCCGTTGATGATGCCGGAAACCAACTTCCTCTCGAAGATCCAGGGCCAATTGAACTCGCAAACGATCCTCCGCTGCTCGCGAACGACGTGCGTCCTCCATTCATCTGCATTTGGGGCGCAGGATGTCTCACAAAGCTTTGACTGCCTACAAAGCCCGTTCCGGACCACCGATAGTCGCTGGTATTAGAGGCGACAGAAGACACTGTGGATATACTTGAGACGGAGCGAAAGTCATCGTCGTCATCTCCCATGACACTAGCTGTGGCTTGCACGACTGCTGAGGACGCTAAGATAGATGCCGACGGACGAAGTTTCACGTCCTGCTGGTCATAGTCTGCATTTGCTCCAAAGCCAGAGTTAAAGCCCACAAAGTTCTTAAGCGTCTGGCTGCTTACAGCCGCCAAATGGAAAGCGACGAGCTGCGGCTTGTGTGTCAAGACGTTCATATAGTTGTCAAGCTCGCGCGCTCGCGCTCCTATAAACTCGGAACTCTTATCCACTCGGAACAATGCTTTACGACGGTAAAGTGGAGGAAACTTAATACCTTTCATGAGCACAGCATTGCGCTTGCGTAGCTGCTCATCCAGCTTGCGAAAGGCTGAAAAGCTGCGCCAGATGTGCCAACTAGTTCGGCCTGTGGCGTGTGCACGCGACGAGTAAAATGAGAGCTTAATGACGACCTTATACTCGACCTTTTTGCTGGCCAAACGATAGTCTTCCACACTCACAGCACACGTGTAGTCACCTTGAATATCATCGGGTGTCATTGTTTGATAGGCCATACAAACCTGCACAGAGATAGAGAGGAGGTGGGAGACGAATGGACGGAAGTGGATGGGCGATACAAACTGTCACTTAATACCGTCAGTTTTTGTGTATGAAACGAGTAAATGGGGCTGGGTCGACTCACGTAGCGACCGAGATGGCGGGCTCTTAAGCCTTTGGTCTGACCTGACGACGATCGCAATACGCACGTTCCGTATACTTCGATACAACGACTGCATATGGGAATAACGTCACGGGATAGGACGAAACTCCGTACTACTGTGTGTACCACACAAGATTAAACTGAGCTTTCATCTTATACCACGTTTTGGGTATGCAACAAATCAGTTGAGCCGTCGGATCAAAAAAATCTCGGACGATTCCCTAATCGCCAAAAATTGTCGTGAAAATCTACAAGCTCATTTCTTTATAAGCACGAAAATGTCTACTATCATCTATGAGATGGGTTTCGATAGTATTCAACATTCTTGGTGTAAATCTACAGCCTTACCAAAAAAAAAACCCTCAAGTTTTGAAAAATATTTTACATAGACCTTGTTACTACGGCAGGCTTGTATATATCTTTATAATGCATGATACAGTATAAAGAGGTCAAGGAATTCATTTAGAGAAGCTTTAGCCCAACAGTTTTACACTCGCAAAGACAACAACAATGAGCACGTAACTTTTTCGTCTCATCAACGTTACGTGCTAGAATGATTTGCACACTTGACACTTGATTGATTGAGGGTTTGCCTAAACCTTTTGTGCCTACTAATTAACGATACACTCACGACCGTAAATAGGTTCAACGAATTGAGCCGCCTTGTAATCTTTATAAAATTAGATGAAGGTAGCCATTTAGTGAACTAATTGACGTCACAAAACTGTTTCTGTGCACAAAACTGTTTCTGTGCACAAAACTTGTGAATTGACTCGCTCTTCAGACTAGAGATGAAGTAAACCACATATTGTATCCATCTTGATTCAACTGTTTGCTCGAAAAAAAGCAAGACTTACAACACGAGCTTACGATACTGTAGTGTGCATAGGCGCATTTTATATCTTCGTATGATTGAGAAAGCGTCAAAGTGCGATAATGTGCAGGAAATAGCGTACAATCTTCAGCGTCTCGATGTTCATGGACAGACATTTGCCAATTCTGTACAAATACCGCCTCGATTACCTAAAATTGTGGATTCACTGGTAGAATACCACGCTAATATCGGTTGCTACCATTGTTATCTCTTTTTAGATAGTCACAAAGATGGCTACATACAGCACATGAACGTCTTTAATGTTGAACGAGTTGGTGTGCAAGTACATTTTCCATACGTAGAGCTCATGTACAGAAACAGCAATGAGAAAGAGAGTTTAAAAAGTCTGTGGTGCATCGAGATCGAGCGAAACGTGGATGTTACTCATTGTATAGTTGAAGATAAGAGAGATCATTGGTACTTGAGACTTCCGATCCGACCAAGTGACAAGCAACCGCTCGGTGGATTCTCGTCGTTCACGCAGGTATCTCCAGTTGAGCTACGACCACAGAGTTACGCGTCAGTGTGTTGTAGAGAGTGCAATGCGCAGTTGCTTGGTGATGAAGGACACGCTGTGATTGAGAAAGTATTGCCGCTACCGTCTGCAAATTGGATGGATATGTTTGACTTTTGGGGAGCTGGTATTGGAGCTTTTGAACACATTCCACGTGAGCATATTCACGCACAGCTACATCGAGTTCTTGTAGGCGAGTCGTATATACTATTGCACGCTAGTGACTTAGTGGCTAAAGCGGTTGTGATAGATTGTGGGGACGAGGCGGCTATTGCATTAGGAGAAGATGCGAAGGAAGAGCACGAATGGATACCGTTGACTTGCGTTGCCTGCTCAGAGCATGTTGGTTCGCGTAGCGTGGAGCACCCAGACACAGTTCGTCTGCAAAAGCACCGCATAAGTGCTCACCAAATGCTTGAAGATGGAGCGGAAGATGGTCCCGTTGAGAAAGGCCAGGAGAGGACGAATGTTTTCGACAACTACACTATCGACAGCATACTTGGCGCCAAGCTGCTGGAAGTGGCAGACTCAGATGGTATTTTTCGATTTATATTGACATCGTCGGGCAATAAATATGATCACAATCAGTCGCATGAGAGGAATGGCAGCACAGCAGATGTATCGTCAACGGAATTGCACTTGCAGCTGCTAAGCTGGGAGACCATGATAAAGCAACCTGACATGAACAAGTTTCATCGCGTACTGAAGGTTTTATACAGTCCTTGTCAAGCGATGCCGGCGGTTCCTGGCCTCTTGCCTTCGCATGAAGTGTCGCTGCCTCCAGCTATGTGTCTAGCGCTTGCAAAGCGTCTTCAAGCGAGCTCAACACAGCTGCCATCTTCACTACGCGTCTTTAACCGAATGAATGTCGGCTATTTGTTTGCATGACCGTGAAAGGAATATTGTCAGATAAAAACTTGTCTTGGTCAACTGCAAAGTCATTGTGTTAATCATACACGTAAGCAAAGCAAGCGTTTACTTGATAGGCGCCCAGTAATCCATTATGTCGAGCGCTACGACACAACTCTCCCGCACCACTGGGACTTTGTCCTTGAGATGTTCCTTCAGGATGTCCTCGCACTCGGTAGTACCAATCGCTCCCAGCGCCTCAGCAGCCTCGTGGCGCACCATTCGGTGCTGTGTCTCATCCAGAAGCACCTTCTTGAGCGCTGGCACGACGATGGGGTTCTCCATCTGGCCCATGACGTAGGCAATCTCGTGCTTGAACAAATCGTTCGGGTCTGCAAATGCCTCGGCAAGAGCTAGCGCCGCCTCGTCCGTATTGCGATTACGAAGCGAGAACATGGCTCGATATTTTGCAAACATGTCTCCATTGTGGTCCAGCAGAATCTTTCGCAGCTCAGCAGTCGACACGTTCTTCTCTGCAGCGGGAGCAGGATCTTCTGACAGGTACGGGTTGTGGTCTACCTCTCCCTCAGCAACTTCACCATTAACCTTGGCTAGCTTGTACTTGATCAAACTCGCTGCCAACTTGCACGTATCAGACACTTCAGGCGTCGGGTCATTGCTGAACTTTTCAAGCACCGCTAGTGACTGAGCTGCACCAATGGTCCCAAGAGCCTCAGCCGCCTCATGGCGCACCATGCAATCATCTGACTCGTCTGCCAGCACCTGTTGTAGCGTCTCACACGCTTCCTCCATCTTTAATTGACCGATTACGTAGGCCAACTCATGGCGTATAAGCTCCGAGTCTTTGCGATTCAGCAGTGCCGTCAACAATACTTGTAGGTCCGTCGCGCTGCCACGAGATCGTAGGTAGAAAATAGCACGCGTGCGCTTGCTTGCAGGCTCTGAAAGATCCAATAATGCGTCACGTAATTGCTCAAAGCTTGGCGTCTTGTCGTATACCGAGGAGATGGGCTCGGTCACGGACAAGTGTGACGGCATTTTTCACTCTGTTGGCTACAATGCCCTTTACGGTCTTACTTTAGCCAGTCAAAAGAAGTGGTAGCTAAGTAGTGATGCTGTATTCCCAAACCCTATGCGTAATCTTAAAAGCTAATGTAAAGTACTTACTAGTCAGATTATGCATGTTACTTTAGCCTCACTGTGGAGCTGATTTAGACCTAGACGAAAGACCAAGGTGCAGGTGTAGCTGAATAATGAGCGGTGTGTAGAATATCGGAGAAACATACGCCCCAAAAAACATGCTGCTAGACGATTAAAACGATACATACCTATAAGGTTGAGCTTGCGCTTATGGCAAACAAAAATACTGGCCAAAACGTGACGAAGGTAAAGGTAGTGCCGGATGATGATTCCATTTATTTCTAGCAGTGATGCAGCCGAATAAGTGGCATAAATCTGTCACGTAAACCTATTAATAGTCATTGCTTATTGTGCATTAACAAAATATCAACGCCACCGAAATGCATACCGGTCAAGCTTGTTTTTTGTCACGTCTGACATGTACTGCGTCGTTTCAGAATGTGTTTTGACAGTTCATCGATACATGGCTACATTAATGACAAACAAGTCTGCCTCGCAAAAAGGACGAAGACCATGTGCCTGACACTTCGCGCTATGACCTCTTTTCTCTTGCGGATAAATTCCTATATGCACCAGTACGTCGTACGATTTTATCGTTATGGATACGCAAGTCTGTTGACACAAAAGCTTTGTTCAGGATGCGTACCCCCATTGACGAAGTCATTGGCGATGTTGAGGACGAGTGGGGCATCATCCACAATCCCAAGTTCCAACGACAACAAAGCAGACAGTCTAGTAGTCGCATTCGGATGGAAACTACATTTCGTGGGGTACAAGTATCTCTAGCGATTGTTGCTGTACAAACACCCCACGTACCTCCGCATCGTCGCCGGCAACGAATACGAGCAATGTGGGCGTTTGATGCTGAACTGTTGGACTCACCGACCACGTATTGCTTTGTTCAGAGACCCATGCTCGATGTTGGTTTCCTGACATTGGCGCACTTTGAAGCCTACGTGCTAGATCGACTTGAGTTTGCTGCTCACCGATACTCGGAGTGGTTCATAGGTAGCAGGCCCTCATCGATTGTACCTATGAGCATAGTTGCGTCTAGGTGCCCGGTTCGCGAGAAAACGATCACAAGAACCTGCAACAAGGCGGTCAAGAAAATAGAAAAAACGACCAAGCTGTTGACGCAGCATTATTCGCTTCACACTAGCGATTCCAAGGACAATGACAAGCACCAGTGCGTGAAACAGATACAAAAAATGGCGAAAGTGTCAAGCGTATCGTGGACGCAACCGGTCGACATTGATCCCCGTTACATGAACTACGAGCATTCCCCAGCATATCGCGCCAGGCGTATGGAAAATCTTGCACGTCGTAATGCTTTGCAGTCGTCACGCCGTAGATCACACCAGGTCCATACATCATTTAAGTGATCAACAACGATCATCACGCCATCGGTATAAGCTTGTAGGTGAGAAGAACACATGCAGAACTAAATGTCAAAATACTGTTAATACGAAACCAAAGCATTCATTACGTTTTTGCGACGTTGCGATACGATCTATAAGTCTGCTCTACCACTGAAAAATGTTACTGGACACGTGCTGCATCGCAGTCAAGGTTTTGAGCACAGCAAAAGACGTGATAGCATTGTCCATTCCGTAGTCCGCAAAGTTGCGAACTTTGCCTGCGTCGGTGTTGAGCAAGACCAATTTGCCCGTACAGTTGCTGCCAGCGTAGAATGCAATTTTCACGTGCTCGTCGGCAAAGATTGACCCCATTGCCGGAAGCTCCGTCCATCTTGCCGACGACATTACGTCACGAAGATCTGCACACGGCATGTCGTAGCACAAGTTTTCTACTGAAACCCCTATGATCCGACGCAGTCTCTTGAACTCTGGCTCCTTGTAGATCCGTAGCTCACCATTCATTGCGGCCGTGTCTTGGACGATGCAAATGATCACGGTGACGCCAGCCAGCACAAACGCTAAGAAGCGAGAAATCATTGATGTCGAAGTTGGTTCAGTTTTGTCGCGTTGGTTGCACTGTAAATAAAGAATGAGCAAGTTAAAGCCTTCGTTGTCAAGCTATTCACCTCACAATTTGCATGTTCACAGCATCAGAAGTCTCACCACGAGATCAGGGTCACACTTTTCTGGTTTGTCAATACTTGGCCTCGTATGATGTCATGTTACAACTGTAACAACAAAGAAACCCGTCATGTAAGCTTATTGCTTCATCAATTGCTGCCATATTCTAAGACTTGATCCTCCTACCTATTGTCCATGTTCATGCATTAACACGTCACGAAATCTCCTTCAAAGTAAACATTCCGCAAACCTCGAAGCATCCCCCAAGTCCGTGAGAAGAAGAACATGATGATCGATCCAAACTCACCATCACGAGAAAGATCTTGGTCGTTTCCTAATTCCCGAATACACTGCTGATAGTGCTCCACATTGGCTCCTCCTGGGTGTTCAGATGGAGTGTATGATAAACCCCCGTGCGAGAAAGTTTGCTGTAATGATTGGATGTTCCAGCAACTATCGGACACAAGTCGTCGACGTACGCCATTGTTGCTCAGCAAATGAGATAAATAAAAGTCATCACCAAGATAGCACGCTTTCGACAAGTTGGCAACTTGAAATGCCGACATCGTTGCTTCTCGCATCCCAAAAAACTTGCGCTTCACTGCAACTCCACCCGCTCCTCCTACAAATGATACGCTGTTCACTCCAACTTCAAGGCTGCGTCCGCAATACAACCTATCCTCGACCGAGATCCACCCTCCTAACACTGCAATAGCGTCGTTCGGATATTTGCGTGTGTAATGCAGTGCTCTTTCACACAATTGGAGCGGATAAACTCGGTCATCATCACCATAAACAATGAGCGTATCTGGGTCCTGCTCAATCAAGAGCGTTCCAAGTACTTTACTTGCTGGACCAAAGTCCGTATCCAGTACAATGAGTCGTAATTTCGTGTGGTATGGACTTGTTCCGATTGCAAACGTGATCCCGTAGAATTCCATTCGATGTAACGTCGACTTATCGTTCAAGAGCCACAATGGGATGTCTACAATTTTATCACGGTAGATCCGAGGAATGATCACGTACACAAGGTCAAAACCGTCACCTTCTTGATGTATCAAAGCATCAAGTGTCGCTTTCAATCCATTGATCCGTCGACTTGTCGTCGTAAAGCTAAAGACAATTCGAGGTCGTGTCTGTGTTGCACTCATCGATGTGGTTGTCATACTAGTCGATGAATTAAAATACAAGAGGAAGATAGTAAGCCATGCCACGGCCGTAGCTAAGAAACACATAAATGAGCGCTTTTTACTCGTATGGTCATCGTTATCAAAGGACGTTAAGACAACGCCCTTTGGTACAAATTTGGCCAATTGACGCGTACGACGGCGGCGATAGCGAATGAATAAGAGCGTAAGCACTGAGAGTCCAGTAAGAATAGACAAGAGCGAGATTCGTGGAATCATCACTCGCTCAGCGTATAAATCACTGCAAATATCACCAATGGGAGAATTGCTACCCAAAGGCTTTCGTAGTGACGATGTTGTCATTCTTTGGATGAAAAGTTGATAAATGGGTCAATTATCGCACGTTTTAGCAGAAGAAGAAGGAGGAGGAGGACGTGTTTTTCGTACTGCGACTTATCAGCTGGTAGGAAAGATCAGGGTTTTTTTGAAGCTATAATACATTGTAATAGATTAAAAAAAAGGCATCATCAAAGTGGGATACATGGAGGACTACCAAGATGATTGATCAATTCTATATAAAAAAGGCAGTGCATGTCACAAATGAAATTTTGTAAGAGTGGCAGTTTCTCGTCAGGAGGATAGTATGGGTATACTTCTTGCCAAGCTCGTGGTCAATGGAAATGATAATGAGTTCAGTGTTGTTGTTTGTTGTTTGTTACCCTTAAACTTACGCTGTTTATTGGTCGTAATCATTGTTTATCAATTACATAACCGACCTTGTAATGTTCGTTCTTTGTGGCTGAGCCAACCTAGGCAACAGCATGCGTGAGACAAAAGACTGCATTTGAGGATCACTGTTCTTATTCTAATTCAACACGTGTTTTTGTGCATCCACACGATAGGGCGCATTAATTAGACAACAATCTGTTCTACCGAAACACTAGAAAAGTCAAAAAGCTAAATCATATACTTGCTTTTCTTAAAGCTTCGAATATTACCGAAAGATACATTGATGCTAGCACTGAGTTGGTCATGTTTCTTTTCTAGTTCAATCCAAGTGGATTTGTATATGCAAGGTGTATCATTTGGACAGCGTATGTAGACACTTTACATACTAAAAGATATCGTGGGCATCTTCAAGTTCAAGTTCAACTCACTTTACACTTACGCAAACCGATTGCGTCATCGTAATGTTTGCTAATCAGCAACAGCCGGTTTCGAGGACACATTGACGTTAACGCGCCGCTTTCCAAATGTGTCGCTCTATATTGTCAAGCTCTTTGACCTTGTAGCTCGACCGATACTTTCTGGTATAACTTATCTTTCTCTTCTTCCTTTACTCTCCAAATCATAACTTTTAGCCGCTGACTTTGTCTTCGTATCATGGGCTTCAAGCAATTCACAACGATACTTCGCTCGTGTTGTGACACACTCGCGGCTTCACACACGTCATCTGCCGCCCGTGACGTCGACTGAGGAGCTTTCGACAACGTTTACACGTACCTCATCATGAGCGTCATCGAACTCGTCATAGCCACGTTAATATTGCTGACGTTCTCGTGAGGACTGTCACCTTTGCAAGACTTTACGTAGCAGCAGTCTTACTGCTTGCTACACAGACCTTAGGCAGCCTAACAAAACTGTTCAGCAACCTTGTGAATAAAAGTCTGATGCGATCACTCCTTATCTTGCTGACGCTGGGGGTCGGTATTCTTGACCGTGTGTACAGGCCATGGCACTGCTGCTGAGCAGTCTGTGGATAAGGAGTATGGGACAGGCTTTAGTTAGAAAGAATTGCGTCAAGAACGTGGATCAGAGCTCTGCACAGTAACACTCAGGACACCAAAGAGAAGCCACAGTCCAAAGCTTCCAGTAGCTTGCTCTAGGTCACAAGGTGTAGCCGATACAATGTTACCTATGCGGTGCACTAATCAAACCAGTAGAGCCACGTGCTAATGATGCAAGACATGCAGATCGTGTGACATGTACTGCAGTACCTTGCCAGCATTGCAGCCACAAAGCGACACATGAGTGGCAACATTGTGTGGAAATGTTCTAGGCATCGTGCTTTCAAGTAAACATCTGTACGTGATCAAGTAAAATGTAATGGCAACATGGAGTAATTTACACGGCAATTAGACTGAGAAAATGAGTGTTCGGGACTGCCGCCTCTGCAAAAAGAAGGCTCAATTCGAATCAAACGATCCACTTGTTGAGTGTATTTTTAGTATCATCTTCATGCCTTACTCTTATGATATTTGTATTGTTAAATACGTTCATTAATTCCGAAATTCAAGCCGACGTATTGTAGGAAAATGTCGAAATGGAGCAAGAAAAACCGCGCACCTGCAGGCTTCGAGTACATTCAGCCAGTAATGGATGCACTGGAGAGAGAACTTCGAGAAAAGATGAATGAACCACATGAGGGAAAACGACAGTGTGAAGCGCTATGGCCAGTGCATCAGATAAATTGGCAACGCAGTCGTTATGTGTACGATATGTTTTACAAGTATCACAGGATCTCCCGAGAGGTGTACGACTACTGTGTACGTTGTAAATTAGTTGACGCGAATTTGATTGCAAAATGGAAGAAACCGGGCTATGAGCGACTGTGTAGTACGTTTGCTATCAATACAAAGAACTACAATTATGGAACAGTCAGTATTTGTCGCGTTCCAAGACAACAGCTCTCGGAAGGACAGATGGTCCAGGAAAAACACAGTGGCTGTAGAGGTTGTGCGTCTGGATCTGGAGGATATCATAATATCTTTGGCAACAAGTATGGACAGTATTTGGCCAGGATTCAGATTGCTAGGGAGGAGAAGAAGGAGACGGAAAAACAAGTCTGGGCGACGAAGGAAGAGGAGGAGGAGTGTGAAGAAGAAGAAGAAGAGAGTGGAAAGGAAAAGAAGAGACAAAGAGGAGAATCTAGTGAAAGCGATTCGAGTGAAGAGAGTGAAGGCGGTTTGATTGGAGAGAGTGAAAGTGATGACGAAGAGACGAAAGAGTCGGAAGCACTGTCCAAGAAGCACAAAGCCGATAAGTAAAGGGACGCACGCTGTGCTGTGTAAGACCATTCGTGGTCTCTTTTAAATAGATTTTACGATTTCTTACCAAACGAATGGTACGAGTTTCCATTTGGGCAGCTCATTCTGTCGATCACGAAACTTGTCCTCAATCCATTCAGAACTGATTGTGGCGAGGAGAACTTGGTTGGTAACGACCCAGGCAGAGATGAGATTGAGCATAGCGATTGTACCACCAGTGACTAGGATAAAGCCTGCGTAAAGCATTATTTCAGTCGTGTAGAGCGGGCTGCGCACAGTATCAAACCAGTCGCCATGCGGGATCACGTACTTCATATTGTTGGCACGCTTTTGCTTAGCTAGAAGGTAGTTGCAGCGCATTTGGTGGTAGGACGCAAAGACAAAAAGCACGACGCCCGATCGAGCCATCACATGACGCAGCGTAGTCTCTTTATGCAGCGTGATTGAGTCCGGGTCGAACAGGACAGACAGCACGGTAGCAACGTAGTGATACGTGCCTACAAACAGTACTAAATACAGCACAAACAAGCGATTATTAGCATAGAAATATCCGCTGATCAACCGAAACAAATGACAACTTACTGCAAGCATGCATCTTGGCGTCTCCAAATTCCGTGACCAGTAGTGACTCAAAAAAGCGTCGGGTCGTATGCATCGCAAACAGTGTCAAGAACACGATAGTGTGTGACTGGATCATAATGATATCAGTTCCTTTTGAAGGATGTGCAAAGTGTAGAGCAGCTTGAACCACGTGCGTCTTTTGCCAAAACAGTGCAATTACCAGCAGCACGATACTATGCATTGCTCCAATGAGGTAGAACCACGTCCAGTAGCTCTTGGGCACTTCTACACGCAATAGCCATAGTCGTGGCACTTGTGGTGAGGTACGCACTTTGCCCTGTAGAACAAATCCACGGCAGAAAGTACTGTGGAACGACACGAATGCACCAGCTATAGCTATGAACCACGTGAATTGCCATAGCTCTAGCATGCCCATGAACATTTCAGGCAAAATGTAACGAATCGTAATCAATCAGTACGATACAGATATGGCTACAGTATTTTTGAAATATGGCTACATTGCGGCCCGGCTTCCTTGTGTATCGTTCATCGATTCAGAAGAATTGTCAATCATTCTGAATTTCTAATGAATTTCTAAACTGGTGCAAAATTCATCAAGACAATGTTTAAGATCGATAGAAATTTGCATACGTGACCAGCATAAATTTTAGCATAAGGATGTCCTTGACGACACTACACCCCACCACCATGACCAGTTAAAGCACCACTTTGCCCGAGTTATTCTTCGTTGTAATTGCTTTAGTGACATCTTCCATATTCTGAATGTAACCCCTCCTCCGTCCTCATGTTACAACCTAAAGTTAGTCGTAGCCCTTCTTTGAAAAGTCCACAAATACCGTTTCCTTGGCAGGTAAAGGCGTCATATCGACATTGATTCCCTCAAGCGGCGATAGCTCTACATCGTCCGGAATCTCACCGTCCGGGAAACACACATCTAGTGGAATAGGAGCATTGCGCATGTAGAGACTGCCACCTGGCATGTAGTTGAATATATAGCGGTCCGGGTGCGTGTAGTGGTCTACCTTTTCCTGCCCTTCACGTAATAGCCTCGTGGCTAGTCTGAAGTAACAATAAAAATCGACACAAGAATTCAACATTCATCGACAAGACGATAGAAGTATGATGTTACTTACCCTGAAGTAGGGTCCAATCGGCGATTGGCATCAAACTCGGCGCGGATCTTGGTGGCCTCTTCGTTCCAGAGGCGGCGGTCAATGATCCACGAATCCAGTGTCTTGAGCGAATTCTTGTACAGCCTTTGAACCTTTTGCTTATGTGAGAGCTGTGGAGTAGGACCCATGAAGCGCCCTACCACTTCACGCAGAGTCTTGTTCATATTAGGGTTCACTACAGGCTTCACCATTGTCACCTACTTTAACGTTAGCAGAGCCGCACACTTTGTGTTTTCGTTCGAGCAACATGCGGCGATGTTGCATAAGAACATATAACGGTCCGGTTCAAGGAGACCGGTTAAGCAAAATGACCATCACTTCGACTGAAAAATTGAGATCTGATAAGAAAAAGTTGTCGATTGAGATTCAAAAAAGTAGGATTAAATATTGGAGGTTTTACGCATCGAATAAAAAGAGGGCGTCATGTTTTTGTCATGGTATCACATCTTCTGACAGTGCGTCGTGTTTCTGTCAAGGCGTCACGTTTCTGTCAAGGCGTCACGTTTTTGGAACAATGCTTCACAAAGCAGCACAAGCCCTATCTTGTGCTGCTTTTGAAAACAAAAGTCAGAAACGCTCTGTTTTCTTGCTGTATACCAAGGAAAGTGACAAGAGATGCTTTGTGAATGACCGATCTACTGATGATCAGTACTCAATTGAGTGCCGATGAGATCTTTCAAACTTTGCATAAACTCACTCGGCAGATCGTCAATTCTAAGTGTATTGCACGCCTGCGTGTCGCAATACTCTTGTGGACAGAGGCAGGACATATTCTTGAGTACCTGGCTTGATTCTAGCTTTTGTGCATGAAAGCAGACGAGACGGGCGTGTGTATATCGCCGCTTTCCAACTGCTGCTGTGAATGAGTCTGGCCTTGTGTGAGCAAAAACCTCTTACACTTTAAACCAAACTCTTCAGCTACTTGTGGCAACTAGGTGCATGAGAAGTGTCAAGCAACATACGTCACGCTTTGAAAACGTTTAAACAACGGTGAAGCCGCTAGGCAAGAGCTACTGTTGTAGCGCTCTTTGGCTCAAAAGGAGGGATACTTTCGAATTTGGCAGCAATAGTGTGCACCCCTTTGCTACTTTTAAAGAACGATGAAAGTTTATTCGATCCTTGCTGGACTTTCACTCCTCGTAGTGGAAGTCACAAGTAAGCATCCCAACCCAAAGAAGCATGCAGTGGCACCTGTATTAACACCCATGACCCGTCAATTACCCGTCACAAAGATGGCACGTACTTTCTTTTCTCCACCGGCAATAAGATCGCCATTCACGCAGCTCCATCCATCACTCTCAGGTCCGTGGAAGTACATGGGTGCTGCAGTGCCGGACGGCTCGAAGATTTAACTGGATAGCAGGGATGATCTCTGGGTAAGAAGAATCTTTTTTTGTTACACAAACACTTTCAGGATGTTAAGTAGCGGATCCTAATTCTTCTTGTTTGTGTACAACAATAAAGGCTCCCGATGTCCAGAAGGTTGGTGATAAGTACTATTTGTACTACGCGGTGAGCAAATTTGGTACACAAAACTCCGCTATTGGCCTTACCCAATCGTTGACCATACATGGACTGATGTTGGCGGTGTCGGAGTAACGAGTGACTCATCTGATGACTACAATGCCATTGACCCGAACCTGTTCCAAGCAGGTAACCAGTACTATCTCAATTTTGGTAGCTACTGACAAGGCCTTTACCAGACCAAGATGGGTTCAGACCCCGTGAAGACTGCCGGTGATGCGAATTAGCTGGTGTTTACGTCCAACTTTGAGGTCAAGGAGGCTCCGTACGAGTTTGCCTACAAGGGCTTTTACTACCTTTTTTTCTCTCAAGGTGTTTGCTGCAACTATGACAAGAAGCTACCGGCAAAGGGAAAAGAATATCGTATTCTTGTGTGCCGCTCAAAAAGTCCAACGATTTTGCTTGACAGTGAGAACCGGGATTGCCGAAAAGATGGCGGGGCTGTTGTGCTTGAGTCGCATGACGCGGTATACGGACCAGGCGGTCAGGGTGTGTACAACGACCCGACACACGGTTTAGTATTGTACTATCACTACGGTGAGCTGCGCACTCGAATGTTGTTGACTAGGAATAGCCCTTCACCTTGGTGGATGCTAATAATGTTAATTGTAATATTTGTACAGTGGACACTACCGTCGGGTATGCAGATGGTAAAAAGTACTCTGGCTGGAACAAGCTCGACTTTTCAAGCGGATGGCCGACTCTGTTGCCACCCGATGACAAGTAAATGTGACGGACGAAGTATGCTTTGGAATGCCAAATGCCACGTCCTGCCATTTGTGTTCTCGTTACTCCTTTTATTAATTGACCCGCATAGTGATAAAGTTTTTGAATGAAGAACCGTTGAAAAGCCATGACCATTCCACAATCTAACCCACTGTCGTCAGGATCAGCGTGAACCAGAAACGTTTCTAAGAAACGAAACATCACTGGACATGTGCCATGAATGAAGTCTGCTAGTAGAAGGGTTGTCTAGAAGATGACTACGATGCATTTGATCTTTATGTCGCACTAAAGTCTAACGCTTTGCTACCAACTACCTTTGACCTCAGTGTCTTTCACGCAATTCCATTCTCACCTCGGCCTCATTGTGCTGTTCATTTTTCCGTTTCCACCTTGCCCATCAAGCACCAAGTATCAACAATTGTCCATCCACTCATGATGGTCCGAATAGTGCATTTCGTGGCAGCTCTGCTTGATGTAGTGACAGCAATCGTAGCAGCGGATGACTATCATAAAGGTGACGGTACAAGCTACTCACTCAGCCACGTCAGCGCCGGCAACTGCAACTTTATGTCGGCAATTCCAACAGCATCCACCAACTTTGCAGCGCTGAACGGCGCAATGGAACACACTTAGTAATTGCGGACGTTGCATGGAAGTGTCGTGCATTGACGAACAATGTACAGTAAAGAATAAGACGGCTGTCGTGCAAGTATTGGATCGATGCCCCGAGTGCGCATACGGAGCTATTGAGTTGTCGCCGATGGTGTATATGGAAATTACGGGCTTAGAACCCAACCGCGTCACGTTGCGTTGGCGATATGTGGACTGTCCAGACGCGGGAAATGTTCAAGTATGTCTGAAAGAAGGCAGTAGTCCTAACTGGATCGCAGTGCAGCCGACTAACGGCCTTGACGGCGTTGAGAGCGTCACGATCAATGATGGTACGACCACGATGCTGAATGGTGCTTATTACTACGTTTCGACCACATCAAACGCTGATCTTTCAGCTGTGAAGGTTGTCAACGATCAAAGGTGATGTGATCTCAGGTACTTACTCGCTCACGGCAGGCAAATGCACGGACACCAATAAACAATTTAGCAGTGGCATTGTTTCGCAGTCACAGCTGCAGACAACTCCAACCGCGATGACAGTTCCAGTTATAACACCTGCCCCGATCAGTATGACTGCCACTGCGACATCTAGTTCGACTGAACCACAAACTTCCGGTAGCGCGTTCAGTAAGACCGGTCAAAATACGCAGCTTAGCGACATCTTGCAGCACGAACAGAGTCCTCAGCATGCTAGCGAAGCCTCACCGTCTGCTACGAAACCTGTCGCTACCCTAGCCACTTCCGAAGATACGTTGATTGCTCCAGAAACTAAGGAAGCAAGCACGGAGGCTCCTTTGAAAGCTACGAAAGTCATTTCTGAGGACAAAACAGCTTCGACAAACGTGACAACTCCGTCCAGCAATACTTCCAAGTGTCGCGTGAAAGGCCGCCATCGCCGTAACTGAACGTCGACGTATCGCCGTGTTGTGTAGTACCTGTTCATGTCAAGCGCAGCGCTTTTGTTTCGTTCTAAGATGCGTGATGTGTACAAAGCTCTCGTCTGTTAACGTGCTTTGGTTAACAAAACGTTTGAGAGTTTGAGAGTCAAAAGTTCAGTCGTGCTCGGTATCTCCAGCCGAGAATCCACGGGCTGTACAATTCTTGGAATCGATGCCACAGCTACCTCCCTAACTAAACGATGCCGATTAGCAAGGACTGAAAACGGCCACAACAGGCGTCGGATGAACTGCACTTCTTGTGCTCCTTTGTCCCAAATCGTGCTTTAGTATAGGCGTCTATGGTGTAACAGCATCTGATTTCTTACAACGAATGAAGGTGTTCAACGACGCCCGTAATTCTTATTCATTTTCAGCATTGCTGCAGTGCACGTCACTCAGGTTCACTCCAGCCTTCAAATTGTACATTAAGCACACCATCATTCAGACGCCTCAATTCGACTTGATGCCATGAACGAATAGCTCCAGGTGGATGTCAGCGCCGTCAGATGCAACCTCATGTTTGCCATTTTACCGGCCTCGACCAACTGATCATTTGTTACATCGCGAGCAATGGGATACGTACAAGCAGCATGGCCAATGTATCGAAGTGTCCTGTATTGACCAGCAACGTAAAGCCACTAATCCAATGACGTTAGGGAAGGAATAGTTGCGATCGGACTTGATGCATTCCTGTATCAGTGCATCATCATGTCTAGTGCAAACACCTTAAGCCTCATCGCCATGCACGCAAAACCTTCCACGCACATCATTTCCATTCATTAAGGTGGTATTTAACGTGAAGAAATGGAATGAAAAGCGTCCTCGAAGCTCGTAAAACCTTCAAACAGCGATTGATGCATGTCAGCGAAAAACCTAATAGCAATTTGGTAAGTTATCGGATAAACAACAATGTTTTTTACCGTTATGTCTCTCATACTTAATGACTACCACCCCTCAGGTACTTCACCTACTATCAAGATTTTACCTCAACGTTTTCAAGCGTAATGTTATGCCATTGCTCCCCTCAACACTTGCGCTTGGTAGTGACCAATCGAATGCGTTTAAACGTTCCTACTGCGTCTTCCATTCGTCACTTTAGCAGCGTGCAGGAGAAGCTCGGCGCTGTTATTGAAGAGCGCTATGCGTGCAAATCCTTTTTGCCGGATACAGTACCAGACAAGACGCTTCAGGAGATCCTCAAGCTTACACTTGTATGTCATATACGTCTGCAATCATTATAGTAATTAAATGTATTGAATCATGTTACCAATTGACAATAGAGAGCTCCAACGGGATTCAATACGCAGCCGTATGCCTGCGTGTTGGTGCGTGAACAGAAAGACCGGAATCAGCTGGCGGAAGCTATGATGGGCAGCAACGTCCGCAAGGTCAAGGAAGCTCCGATAGTAGCAGTATTTGCCGCTGACTGTGGTGAGCTAAGAGCCGTATGTAGTCGAGGTACGAGTCGAATTGAAGATTGATTAATGTGACTTGTTTTGCTTTCTAGAGCCTAGCAAGCGCTTGCCACGTTTGCAACAACTGGCCCATGATAACGGAGCCCCCCGCAGACGTTGTGCACAACATGCCGCACGTGGTGCGTCTTTTTTCAGGAGAAGGTGTGGTTGCAAGCGGTCTTCGTGCAATTATGGCGACAGCTGTATCACCGCTGATGCCTGTTCCTTCAAATGTATCGACCGAAGCATGGGCGTTCAAGCAAACAGCATTTGCTGCTGCTACTTTTCTGTATGCCGCGCAGGTGTACGGACTTGCGACGTGTCCGATGGAAGGATTTGACCAGATCCGTGTGAGGAATGCACTGAACATTCCGGACCGGTATGGTGTGCCAGTAATAATAGCTCTTGGTCATCCGAACCCGACTGAAAAGCCTGAAAACCCTTCTGCAAGACTCGATCCGACAGAAGTATTCTTTGATGGCAAGTTTGGTGATTCAAGTAATAAGATTTTCTCGAACAAGCAAAAATAGGTGGCATCTGAACCAAGTCAGTCTTGCGTGAATGGTGGCTGCAACTAGTGTAAGGTTGCATTGAAGCCATTTCACACTGCTCAAGGTTGCAGGTGTCAAATCTCGTCTTTGCCGTACTGTCAAATTTATAGTTCTACGTACTTTGAAATTTGACAATAAGCAATTACATAGGTTTGTTCCAATCGTTTCAAAATAGCTACATTAACAACATTATAACGATACTTTGAATCACTCGTGTGCAGCACACAACTTTTGACAAACATGTCAAGTTTAACAGCAGCATTAACCCAAGCACTAGATGCATCATTTCCTAGTATATCTTTCTCTATGGCATATGGATCAAGTGTATTTCAGCAAAAAAATCATGACTCCAGTGCAAGTATGGTGGATCTAGTATTTGCAGTCGATGATCCAATATCTTGGCATGAAGAGAATATTGAGCGCAATCCACGACATTATTCGATTGTTAAGTATCTGGGAGCTCCTAATGTTGCTGCATTCCAAGAGAATTTTGGTGCAGGGATTTATTATAATACACTGGTAAGCAGAATAGACGTCGAACACCTATTTACGTGCTTAAAGTTGATGTTAAAAGATTGATTAAAAAGGAGTTGGAATTTGTAGGTTCCTCTTACGGGCACTTTACTTGGGACACGATTAATTAAATATGGTGTTGTGAGCATACAAACACTATGTGAAGACCTCGAAACCTGGAAAACACTCTATCTTAGTGGTCGAATGCATAAACCTGTAGGTTTTTAACTACCTCGACCTTGTAACACGCAAGACACAAGACACAAGAGACTCACTGTGATGATTTGTTAGGTTAATATTCTTGCCACAAATGAGCACATTCAAGCAGCGACGTCGATGAATTTGTCACATGCACTGAATTATGCACTTCTTTGTCTACCAACGAAGTTTTCCGAGTATGAGTTATACATGGTAAGTAGTACATTAATACTCTTGACATCTGTCTATTCATTACACGCACACGATGCTTTGAAAACGTCACGACATTTGTGAGTAGAAAATTGCAGGAATTTCATACTTAGGCGATTTTCGAATGACATTTGGTGAGAACCCGAAGAAAGTACGCAACATTGTGGACGGTAATCTTCAGGCATTTCAAAAACTCTACCAAGATAAAATTCAGGTAAGATAGCTCTTGATGTACTGGTATTTTGTTCGGTTCGTGTCGGCTGAATACTGCTTGGTGCTTTCGTAGAACTCGCCATTCATGACGCGGTTGGTCTCTGATAATAACATGTTAGTTGCGGATAGCGATAATTACAAGGTGAGGCAAACCATTGTCGGTGCTTTGCCGTCCAACGTGCTTCGACGACTGGCCACGAGATCCCGCACATCACCTGAAGCACTTGACCACGAGACTGTCACGAAAAAACAGCTGCAGCGCGTCATTGCGTCGATAGTATTTCGGTCAAGCCGATCGCAAAGTATCAAGGGCATTGCCACTGCTGGAGGTGTCAAAACAATCATCTACGTTGCGCAAAAGCTCAAGCGCACGTACTTCAAGTATTCAAGCTAGTGTTGGAAATTGGCCGACCAAAGAGCTACGTTGACACATTGAAATTTCATATCATGGGGTCAAGCGTATTCAAAGAGCGATCTATCTACAATCAGCTGACTATTTTCTACTTACTGCTTAGACAGTCAACACTTTCTTCAAATGTTCCACACGAGCCCTCGTTTCCTGTGCATAGTCCTTCTCTTCACCATCTAGTGCATTGATCTGCTCGATACGCTGGTCACACTTGGCTAACAGGTTCAACTCTGGTTTCTTACAGGCCGCCATGAAGTTAGGGGCAATCATGGCAAACTCTACCAGGCCTTCCACAGAACTTTCGCACAGTTCGACATCATCGTGTGTGATAAATGCCGCGACGGCTTGAATGTAAAAATTCTCCTTCAAGACCCTATCGGCTGTGGATCGTGAATTGCGAATCAAATATCGAAGCAAGAAGAGTGATTTGCGCTGTAGTCGAATATCCATCGCACCTTCCAAGTTCCGACGCAAGAGATCCAAACCATTGCACGTAGCATCAAGAAACCTCTTTTCCGCTCCAGCATGATGACGCACAAGACATGAAATGCCTAGTACAGCCTTCACACGACAAGTAACGTCCTTTTCATTACGAGCCATTGTGCAAAGCACTTCCACTAGACCACTTGCTACTGCTGCATCCTGACAAAAGGGATTATTCTGTACAACAACCGCACAAACTTCAGCAGCCAATGCACGAGATGAAACATGTTCATACTTTTCAATCACGTTTCTCATGACACGTAGACCACCCATTTTGACAAAGTTTTGTGCATTATCAATCTGATCAATGCGTATCAAGAGTTCATCTAGTAAGGTGTCTTGATACTGTCTCAAGTCCTCCAATGATGTTGTCACAGTATCTTCTTCATCTTGAATCACACCGTCCTTTGATGCAAAAACAAGGCGTGGATCTTCACCTTGTAGAATACGTAACATCTCTTTTATACGTTCATTCTCATCAATCACACCTTCATTCATGACTAATTCTAAGAACTTTCGCTTGTCTTCTGAAATAGGTTGGACACCAGTGGATGGTATTGTTGTTGTAGCATTAGTAGAAGAATTGGTCGTTTGTTTCATTGTCCATTTCATAAGCGCTCGCCATTTTGCTTGATCTGCTGGTGTTGTCATGAGTGGTGGGTGGGGGGATTTGTGTGGGTGATATGGGTGGATTAAATGGGTTTAATGGGAATTAAAGACAAGGAAGAATCGAGTATTTTATAACGAATGAAGATGAAGCTGGTATTTTTGATACTTGGGTAATAAATAGTAGTAGATAAAAACTACTATTGATATGGATGGATAAATGACCGCGGCAGAAGTAATATAAGCGAGTCGTGTGGTCTACATCAACGCTTGCTTTTTTTTTTAAAAAAACCCCTCTTTATAAACATTATGCATCTTTTCCCAACGCTTAAATACTAAATTATAGTAATACCAGGTCAACTTTACGTAATATTTACGTAAACATACATCTCAACTATATTTCAAAACTATGACATCGTACTTAGTATACAATCTCACCCTTTTGATACGTGGCATGTAATGTAAATGAATGAATCTCTCTCTTATCTTTTATCCACATAATTAAATTAACCAAACAACAACATTTGAAAGAAAGAAAGAATCGAAACCTAAGATAAAGCATGGTATGTACTGAAATGATTCTCTCTTATCCAATTCTCTCTCTTCTATTATCTATATTACATGCAGTATGATGATGTTTCTATACTTGTATACTTATTATATACACGTGTCGTCTCTCTGTCTTTTCTATTAGGCTACAGGACCAAATAATGCGATAACAGGCAAAAAACCAGCTCCAACGGCATCAGCTGAAGGTGCAGCAGCTAGTGGATTACGTAATCGTCGCCCAGCAACAACAGCTCGTTCTGGTCAAAATACAGGCCGTGGTATGGGTGGTAGTACTGCTGGTATTCTACGTTTCTATACGGATGATTCACCTGGTTTAAAGATTGGACCAACGACAGTTTTAGTCAGCTGTCTCATGTTTGTGGGCTTTGTCGTGTTGTTACACGTATGGGGTAAATTCCGTGGCTAGAAGAAGGAGGAGAGAAGAAGAAGAAGGAGAAGCCACATAAGATCTACACTACCAATCTATCTACTTGACCTCTGGAACAAGACAAACGTTATTGTTATTTGTTTTCTACTTTGGTAGTTGGAAGCTTACCTTGTTTGTTTCTTGTGGCTTCGTATAGTGACAATATCTAGATTCAGGATATATGGAGAGATACACACGGATGAAAGCAGTACAGAATGGAGATGAGGAGTAGAGTTGGATCTGGATATGAAAACAAGTGGAGAGAGAGAGAGAGTGGCCGACACATGTGATACAAGAAACAAAGCTCTAAAACGATTCTATAATAAGTGGCTGGACCCTTGTGTGGCACAAATTGACAAACATCCTTGATCCAAAGGACTGACTCATGCATGACATGCAGATTTTCATGTCTTCTTCATTCCATAATCGTTGGTCTAGCGGTGTCTTACTTTTCAGCAATGGAACGCTTGCGCTTCCTTTTCTGTTTGTCCTGAAAAGTCTTTGTCTTCTTGCTCTGTCCCTTGGTCTTTCTAGCTATCGTTTTGTTTGCTTCGTCGTCTTCATCATTCATCTCAGGCATGAGCTCGTCGTCCTCGTCGACCAGAACCTTCTTCTTCTCTTCCTTTGTTTGTTTCTGCGCAGATACAAATGGAATACCAGCAGCTTCGGATATCTGCCGTATCATACCCTTGACAACAGGTGAATTAGACTCCACTACTTGCACAGCCTCCACCACGGCACGAACGTCTGCTTTGGTCGTCTCCTTGTCCATTGACGAGCACCAGAACTTTACAAGCTGCAGCGTAAACATCATCACGACCTTCATACGTTTAGCCTTAAGCTGCTGGACACTTTCGGGGGCCAATTGCCGCACCAGTGCCGTCTTTAGAGCCTTCTGCACACGCTCGAAAGCACTGCGTTGAGCCTTGGACAACTCGCCAGTCTGCTGCAGCTTGCTGCTAGCACGAAGTAGCACCGTGAGCAACCGGAACACTTCACACTTTGAAAACTCGTCAATTGCTGCTCGCGTCTCCGAGTCACCAGCGTCTTCCTTCTTTTCAGAAGCCGCTGCGACAGCGACTAACGGCTCCAGAAGTACACGAACACCAACGGCAGGACACTTGGTCAGCAGCTCTTCAAACGATGTACGTGGAAAGCGGGAATGCTTTTTTGTAAAAGCATCAACGACTGACTCGCGAATGATCGTCTGCACCTCCTCATCACTAGAAGACTCGCTGGAGCAGATGACACGAACGAGATATACAACAGCAGCAGATGCAACTTTGCCAGCGTGATCCTTATCCATTGGCGTAGAGCGAATCAGCTCAATAATCTGCCGAAGAGAGTCAAGAGCTTCGGTCCGAGAAGTCTCGCCAGACGGAATCTTGTCCTTCGTACGAAGCACATTGTGAAGTACAGCTTGCAGTCGATCCCGAAGCACAAGCTTTTCAGTATCAGCATTTTGCACGTAAGCAAATACACGGAACAACGGAGCTACCAATGACAACACGAGTGCGTTATGCTTAGCAGTAGCATCCTTGGTTGGCTCAGGGCGCTGCGAGACAAACACTTTCAATAGATCCAAAATCCGCAGCTGAAAGTGCATTGTCTGCAAACGAGCGCGCTTGAGGTCCTTCTTGCGTTGTGAGCGGACTTTTACTTGCCCTACAATAGCAGCCAAGGCCAAATCCTGTTGGTGCAGTGCTGCCAGCTTCTTATCGTTACGAAGTGCATCAGACAGAGCATCCGCTGAATCCAGCACCGCTTCCTCGTCTTCTTCTCCATCTTCATCATCTGCATCGTCATCATCGCCATGCGTACCAGGAGCAAAGTCATCGTCCTCCTCGTCAGCAGCAGCGCATTCGGCTTCAGCTGTTGGTTGCAGCACGTTCATTATTGTGGTCAGACATGCCCTATTGAGCAGCGGCAGCAGCGAACGAAAGACCTGTGACACGATTTCACGCAGCGCACTCGAGTCCGCTGCAAGCAAACTTAGCAAGAGATCGGTGAGAACCACTACCGGCTCCTCTTTCATCTCCTCAGACTTGTTCTTCTCCTTCCTTTTATTCTTCTGTTTCGTGGAGGTAACCTCCTGCTCTCGCGCGACAAGCTGGATATAGCACTTTTCCAAGTCAGCAGCCACAACAGCGGCATCCTCACGCTGTTCACTGTCCAAGAACTGAAGTCCAACACTCATGAACAGCAGAAGAAATGTCTCACTTAGAGGTCTCCGCGCTGCTGTTTTCTTTGACTGTTTTCCATCTTCCTTTTCTTCCTTCCTTCGCAGACTGTCAACGTGGCCAGTTAGTGCATTGAATTGCACCGTAGCCTCGTCGTCGAGAGGATCAAGCAGAGAAACCGTCGCACTGCTCGCTTGCATATCTTTTGCAATTGCAAAAATGCGGCTCAACACGCTGGCACTGGCACGCACTCCATCAGCTCCTGCAAGACCCAGACTCAACAATGAGAATAGACGAGTTTTGGCGTATGTAGCCACGGTCTCCGACAGAGCGGGGCTTGCCGCTGTCGCCTCCTGCACCACTTCGTCAACCTCTGTCGTCTTGACCTTCTTGCTTTTCTTGGAAGGAGTAGATTCAGCATTGCGTGACGACTTAAAGAACGAATGAAATACAAGAAAGCAAAGCACATCGTCCTGCAGCTTTTCCTTTGTGCTATACGACTCACTCTTGGTGCCCAGCATCTCCAAAAGACCTGCAACCATAGCTTCAACAGCCCATACCCGTGCGCGGTCCGCGCGTCGTTGTACCGCTTCCTTACGCTCCTTCTTCTCCTCGAGCTCAATAAGTGCATGAAAGTCTCCCGCACTCAGCTTCTGCTTCTTCTTAAGACTTTCATCCTCTTCGCTGTCGCTGTCGCTTGAAGCAGACGTTACCAGGATAGATAGAGGCGACGTAAACTGTTTGCGAAGGAAATGAAAGAACTCAGCAGGTGCGCAAGCAGCAAACGACTTCAAGCAGTGACGCGCTGCCTCATGCAAGTAGTTTCTCTTGGCGACAGCATTGTTGTACAGACACCTGACAAAACGTGGGGTAAGAATGGCTCTCAAAACCGGTGCCGGCAGCTTGGGAGCCACGAGCTCGAACAACTTTAGTGCCAGACCTTGACGTTCGTGGCTGGTAGGGGCACTATCGTCCGAGTTACTGCCACCGACCAGTGAGTTCTCCACCAGCACTGTCCAAGTTTCCTGACACAACTCACTATCAAGTGTTGTCAATGCATTCTCCGTCGGATTCAATACGTGACCAAACACTCCAAACCAAGCTGAATGCACACGTGGGTAGCATCCCGACGATCCACGCAATGGACGTGCAAGCACATGTACATTATGACGCTGCAAAGCATTTAGCGCCGCAAACTTATCTGGCAATTGCTTCATCTTTTCTTGATCTTGGTCAATGCCAATGACATGAAGATATCGCTGTACCCCAACAGCTAGTAGCACTTGGTCAGCATTCCACTCGTCCCGTCCTTTTTCCTCGTTACCCTTAACAGGCTGAAACTGTAATAGTTGATGAATCACCATAGCTAATTCCGTCACAAAGAGCTCAGCTGGTACATCCACTAATAGAGTCAAAACTGCTTCATAGCACGTTTCACGGAACCAGCGTTTAAATGCTGCCATTTCAAATAGCTCCTTTATCACCACTACAAGCAATGACAAGTTCGTTTTCAAGCGATTAGAACGATGTAATGCCAAGAGTCCAAAGAGACGACCAAAGACGTGTTCACGTTGTTCCATGGGTTTCATGGATGAATGAATTGCCATAGCTTCCCGTAGTAATTCATGTGTCTTCTCTAGTGTAATTTGCGCTGGAAAAACAGCTAAGAGACCACTAAGTGCTGTACTAAAACCCTGACGAGCAGCATCACGTGATGATGCAAGACCACGGACTAATCGTTTAAGTGTGTATTGCACCTCACTCTCCTGTTTCGTACTATGTTTTAAATACATGAGCAATGCTTCTGCTGCTTGGATACGTACATGACCATCACTCTCTGCTAAGGTCCAAAAGAGTTTTAAATAATCCGTACTTTTTGGTAGAGAGGACACATGAATTGAATCCTTTCTCGTCTTCTTTAGCTTGCCATTCATGACTCTAGAGGAATTCTGACCATTAAAGCTTGACTGGTGGTCGCCGGGCCTTGGACATTTATTAGGTGCACGCGAAGGTTGCTCCAGTAGGAAGGTTGTCGCAAGAATATATATATATAGACAACGCTTCCTTTAAAACTTGATATCAAAAGCTATCATCATGATAGGGAGGTTTTGGAGAATAAATGTTAAAAAAGAGACGTGCGGCGATATATGATGGCTACATTATGCCAAAACGGGTTTGCGGCTAATAAACCATGATGTATGTGGCTGTGACACAACGAAGATTAACCAGCGGCGGATTCCAGAGCCAGAATCAATTCTTCCACTCGCGCAGCGTTTATCTTGATCAAAAATTGCGTCAAATGATTGTCAACTTGCAACGCTAGCGTCACGCCTGTTTTTTTGCCCTTGGTCTCATGTGGACGAACAGCCATGCCCTTGTATAATGCTGCATTCAACACAACTTTACCAATCTCATTACGGACCAAGATGCGTGCACTCTTTGTGTCTCTACTGACAAGCACCTGAAGAGGATGCACACCTTTGTCTGCCCAGCGCTTCTCGTCTTTCTTAAACTCAAAAATCTTGACCTTATCAGCTTCAAAAGTGCAGTCGTCGTCGTCGGAAGAATCAGCCTGTCACATGTATATGGTAGAATCAATAGGTTGTAAATAGCAACAACGACAACGTGAACAAGAAGGACAAACCTTGATAATGACAGTAGCTTCCTCACGTCCAATGTTTTCCTCGTCTTCGTCATTAGCTGCCGTCGACTTCGACGTCGATGCCACTGGAGCTGAAGACCCAAAGCTAAAACCACCACTTGATGCAGATGCAATACTCTTGGCAGGACCGGCGTTACCAAACGAGATACCACCAGTAGCAGAAGCAGAGGACGCTGCAGGAGCCGCTGGTTTCGGCAGCGATCCAAACGAAAACGCAGAAATAGTCTTCTCCTCTTCATCGGCAGGCTTGGCAGTAAACAGTGAGCTACCAGCGCTGCCAAAGGAAAATTCTGCCGAAGCGGGTCGACAATTGTCATCCTTCTTGGAGTCATTATTGAGCGACAAACCACTGCTGACTGGAGTATCATCCTTCTCTTTGGCGCAGGCGTTGCTATCATCAAACGAGGGGGACGTATCCGACAAAGCGGTGGCTGCCTTTGCACTTGGAGCACAACTCAACGTCGCACTAGCTGAAAAGGTTGCTGGTGCCGCTTGTTTCGTCTCACTGATCGCAACAGGCTTAGTAAGCGCGTACTTGGTAGCAATCTCTCCCGCGTACTTCACATAATCCTTCATAAATCCATTGCACACTGTCCGCATGAGTCTCTCTACTTCTTTCACACACCCTCATCGGTTACTACCAGACTCACCTGCACTGCATTCATCCAGTTTGCACTCGGGTTACTTTGCAACTGACCCGTCACAAAAGCCAGAAACTCCTTATTCAGTCCCTCCATTGCTTCCTGGTACGATTTCTTCAACGACGTCGTACTTGACTCATTGCTCGTTTTCTTCACTGTGCTCGTAAGACCTGAAAATCCAGTGAACGGGTTTGAAGCAGCAGGTGTAGCCGCTGTAAGTCCCTAGTGTGCATCAATAGAATGAATGACCACAATAATTAGCATTCACCCAGTTTGACCTCAAGTACCTCCTTCACCGACCTGAAAACCTCCAAATGGATTGCATTGGACTGTATTATCTCCATCTGTAGCTGCTTTACGCTTGGTCACAACGGACGAACGATTTCCAGACCGTGCTTTGACAATTTTACGCTTACGAATCGACTCGTCACTAGCCCGTTGAAATCCAATCTCAAACGATTCAGCAGTGACTTCATCTGCTGCTGCGTCTTCTGCTGCTACTGCTTCGTATTCTTCACGGCGCATGTGGTTGTTTTCATTGCGTCGCTTTGCCATAATGCGCTCAATGTCGACGTCGATTTGGCTCGAGTTGCTCGATTTCTTTGGCCTGGAGTAAACGAAGATGGTGTTTTGTCTCAAGTATGTTTTAGCAGACAACAAAGTGTTAAATCGGAGTTCGTACAAGTCTTTTTAGATGACCACTGGTGCTAAATTAGATGATGAATTGACACGTGGATTTAACACAAATACAGGTCCGATTTAGCGGAGTCAGAAATGGGACAGTAAATTAAAGGACACACGACCAAGGAACGAGACTACTGCTGCTTGCTGCTGCCTACACGTAACAAATTACCGGTAACTCCATTGCACCGCATCTACTTATTGATAGCTCACTCCTTGGTCGTCACTGTATCCAGACATCTCTTTGCTGCATGCTACGCTTTAGATAAAATACGTCTTTATCTTTGCAACAATGTCATCAACACGGGCAGCCTGGGTGAAAAAGTCCAGAAACTCCCCGTCGGGACCAACAAGGTACATGACAATGGAATGATCCACCAAGTAGTCGTCCTCATCGTCATCATTTTCATCTGCCTTGGAAAAGTAGACGCGATATGCTTTTGTAATTTCTGCAATCTGATCGCGTGTACCCGTGAGCATTTTGAATTTCGGATGGAAGTCAGCCTTATAAATCTGCATTTGTGCAATGGTATCACGCTTTGGATCCACGGTCACAAACAATGGCACAACCTCGGTACAGTTGTCAGCCTCCAATTTGTCGATGACATTACCAATACGTACTAACTCATTGGGACAGATATCAGGGCAGTGTGTAAACCCAAAGTATAACAACGTATACTTGCCACGGAACGAGGCGTCCGTGACGGCACGTCTCGTATCACAATCAACAAGTGTCCACTTTCCACCTAAAAGTGGTTTACCCACCGATGTCACCTTGGAAGTAGCTGGTATAGTCTCAACATCATAACAGACAAAAGGATTCAGTACTTAGTCCATTTTCATGCCTCCTACTTGATCTTGACTGTGTCTCAGATATAAAAGCTCCATACATTGAGTTTGTAGCCGGTCTTTCTCCATATAATAATAATACATAACACCACTGCTTATCATTCCTGCCAATGCTAATCCACTCCATGTGATTGGCTACTTTATACAATAATCATAAACCATTATATAGAGAGTTAAGACATAACAAGGATCATAGATAGAGATAGATAGAGATGGATAGAGATGGATAGATAGATCATCCCATAGTAGTAGCAATAGCAACCACTTTCACTAGCTTGCTTACCCCCAATTTCTCAGTACGTGTAGAAACTGGTGCATTTGAAAACATCCGACGTGTCATTTCTTTCCTTGAACAATGGAGTAACTTGATTCCTCGCATAACTCGACTTGCCATCATTCCGCTTAAGAGGTTTTTGACACTACTGACCCCGGTAGCGCTATGGAATCATATGATTGGTTAAAATAAAACATTCATTTCAACGAATCATAATTGTCCATTCACTGGCTGAAGACTGCTCATTCATTCATTCATTCATTCTTCACCCCATGGCACAAGACGATCCTGGGCGGCTATTAGCACGTTATGTGCGTCCTATTTACGAAGCAATTGATACTCGACAGTATAAAACAGCCATGAAATTATGTCTACATAAACGTATTGCCCATTTAGATATTGTACAAGTACTGAAAGCTCATTGTCTTGAACGTACAGGACGAGTTGAAGACGCATTAGAAATCTGTCGTCGTATTCAAGACAAGAAACCAACGGACGAGACGTTACTTCATACAATGAATTTAGTATTTAAACTGGCTCAGTGTGAAGCTGAAATGCTACCAACTTTTGAGCACGCGTGTACTGTCAGTGAACCACCAAATGAAGAGCTCTTCCAGTCGTTATTTATGACCTACGTACGACATGGTGCGTTTCTAAAGCAACAACAGACAGCATTCAAGATGTTTAAAGCCTTTGGAAGGATTCAATACGTCTGTTGGGCTGCAGGAAGTATGATGCTTCAGGTAGAACTTGGACAGATACCAACACGGATGTTGGCATTAGCAGAGAAGATGATGTTGAAAACATTGAGAGATTCAAGTGCAGAGTACGATGGACAAGTAGTGCAGTTAACAGTACTGATCATGCAGTTACAGGACAATCATCAAGGTGCGCTGGAAGCGTTTGATGAGCTTGTACAGAGACACGATAACATGGACGAGCAAATGAAGAAACATGTAGCTATAGGACGAGCTGCAGAGGGTGAAGGAGCTGATGAGGAGGATATTGAGCTTGGACCTATGCAGGCTATTGATAGATTGGCGCTGGAAGCGACGCTCGCGAAGAATGTAGCGAATTGGACTCGATGTGCGGTAGTTCATCGCAAGCTGCTGGAAGAATATAATGCAGACGACTGGACGTTTTTGAAAGACTACATTGCAGCACGGTTTAATGAAATGATGGACTGCACAACGGCAGAACTGCTATTGCTTGAAAACGAGTTGATGGGATTTATGAATGAGCTGCAGTCTTGTCCAAGCAATGAGCGCATTCGTGGACCTGCTCTTGCTCTTATCCACATCAGTGCAGAGACATTGCGACGTTTAAAGTCGGGAGATGCGGCTGTGTCGCAGGTGGAGACGAAGCTGCAAGAACTTATTGTCGCCTATGCGGACCGGTTTTACTCTAAAGCGTGTTGCTTTACTGATTTGAAACAGTACTTCACTCTCTACTTGAAGGATGGCACGTTAGTATCAGCACCTGCGAAAGCCAACTTGATTCAGCACTTCAGTAAACTGTCGGAGCAGTCTGCGGACTTGCTCAAGAACAAGCCAGCTGACGATAATGTCGATGAAAGGACGCGCACAGTTGGGCAAGGTAACCTGAGTAAGCGGCTGCTTGCATTGAAAGCACTTCGCTTTATGGGCTACTATGAGAATCCGGACAAGTTTTCGGTTGACGATTTGAATCATTTGGTGAAGGAGCTTGAAGAGGAGTATGAAGCTACGAATTGGCTCAATATCGGTAGTGCGGGTGGCCAGCGTGAGGTGCAGCTCACGGATGACTTGCTGTTACTTGCGACACACTTTCTTTTGGATATTTATCAGCGTTCCAGCGGACATCGTGAATACCTAGAGCGTGCCGCTGGACTCCTCGAATATGGGCTAGAGAAGAGTGCGTACAACTTCCAAATGAAGCTTCTCCTGTCCCGAGTATACGGCTACTTGGGTGCTGCAGAGGCTATGCTAAACCGTCATGTAGAATTAGATGTGAAGTACGTGCAGTTGGACTCATTATCGTTTTTGGTATTGGACAAAATGCTTGAGCTTTGCCAGTATCCAGAAGCACAGAAACTGACGAACAAGATTGCAGCTTTGCACCGCAGCACGGCAAATGACACACCTGAGTACATTGCACGTGCTTACCGACTTGGTGTCTACTCGAAGGTGATTGACATGTCTTTGTTCTTACATAAGCGTATGAAGATGTCACACTCGCTGGCTATTAGCAGAGGAGAGGTACTGCGTTTCCAGTTGCTTGAGTCGATGACTGCTGGTCCTGCAAAGCTCTACGAACTTGTGACATCTCCAAGTTTTGATGCTCAGATTAGTGAGTTAGAAGGCATGTTGGTATCGAATGGTACCGAGCTGTCGCACAACCAGCACCGAGAGGTTATCGTAGATTGGACTTCGCAGCAGCAGGTCTCGACAGGCGACTATTTTGCTCAAGACGACGCTCCACTTGTGGAATGTGATCGATCAGCCAATGCCAATTCGTCACTACTGTGGCTAAAGCTTCGCGTACTGGTTCCAAAAGTGCTCAAGAGTCTTGCTGAAGATGATTGTTTGAATTTATCTTTATTGACAAAGGAGTATCGTGCTATCGTGGCTCAGCTGCATTTTACAGATGTTACCGGTGAACGTCAGCTTCATGTGAAACTTTGGGAATGGAGTACAAATGCGATTGCCATATCAGCTCACATTGTGAATGCAGCAAATGGCCAAAGCGAAGCAGGTGAAGAAGACCAGATGGATCTTCCTCGAGCGATTGTATTACTTCAAGACGACTTTGCAACAATTGTCGAGCTTTTTCGTGCAAGACTCGTGTTTACTACTGGTGCTTCTTCTTCTTCTTGCGATCCAATGGCATTGTCACCGTATGGTGTATCAACGTTATCGTCATTACTACTGGACTCTGGTCTCTCTTCGCTCAGTGCATTGGCTCTTACGCATCGAGCGTTGGGTAAGAAGAAGAGTAAAAAGAGTCAAGACCTGTCAGCTGCAGCATCTTCGTTGCGCAATCTATTCAAGCACATGCTCGAGTCATTGATGGAACTGATGACGTATGTTGCAAAACTCGAGTTCACGTCGCATCACCTGTCCAAGACTTTGACATTGCCAAAGGATATAGCACAGGAGAAGGCGTATACAAACATGGTAAAGTCCTATCAGGTGCTTCAGATGAGATTGGTAGAGCTCTTGGGCGAACGCTGCGCAAGTATCCGCGCTATTTTGCAGAAATAAAGGACACTTAAATAGCGTTAACTCGTTCTGGATAAAGTTCAGGAGCCATATAAAGCCGATTGATAGGGCCAGTACTTTAAAAAAAAACAAAGCTAACGTTAAAGTGGCGTTTCAAAGTGTCGTGCTCTTGGCTGTTTTTTTTGTATTTGGGCTTGCTATTTTGTATGTCATGTATTTTGTTTTGGTCTTGGACCAAATCACAATTGATCCAAAGCGCATGATGCGGCGACGGCATTGCAACTATTACGCCCATCGCGGCGCTAGTAGCGCTCAAAATACAAGCCATGAGCCGCATTCTATATCTGTAGATGTTTCTAATACAACTGACGTATTATCCAGTGCAGATCCAGCCTCTGGTAGCTCGATTTTGACCACAGGAGGCTCGACAATCCATGGAAATGTCAATGTGCGTTTAGACATGAATGCTAGTGCTCTTAGTGTCGATGCTACAGGCTCCGTAGCTGTATTAGCAGGAAGAAAAGGACTTTATATATTGGATCTAGATACACCCTTGGTGCCACCAGCTACATTGTACCGCCAAACGAAGCTTGAAGTGACAGTTGTCAAGTGTAATCCGCATGTTTTATTTAAGAGTCATGTGGCCTCTTCTAGCAACCGAAATACGCTTATATGGGACATTTCAAATGTTGGAGCTGGGTCTGGAACATTGGCTTCCATTGGAACAGGTCAGGGATCGTCTAGTGCTTATGAACGGAGTCAAAACAATGGAGGAGGAGTCAGTGGGAGTGGTGGATCACATACAACCTCACAGCCTCTTGTAACGACGCTGAGAGCTCATACTCGACCAGTAAGTGACGTCGCGTGGTCAACCATGGAGCCTTTGTTGCTAGCAACATGTTCGGCGGATGCAAAGACACTGCTATGGGATATGAGGTCGCCCCAGAGACCAGTACAGACATTAAATGCCTTCAACACAAGTGTCGTGCAAGTGGAATGGAATCGAGTAGATGCAACGTCATTAGCTACAGCACATGACGGAGAAGTGAGAGTGTGGGATTTACGTACTGCTGCAGAAAGAACGGTCGCCCCAGTGGCTCTAATTACAGCACATATGCAGAAGATCTATGGTCTTGATTGGCATCCACAGCGGATGTATGAACTGGTGACGTGCTCGGAAGATAAGACAGTCAAGTTTTGGGATGTGACACAGCCAAGAGTCTGCCAGGGAACGTTAAATACAGGTGCGCCAGTGTGGCGAGCTCAATACACTCCATTTGGTGATGGGCTGGTGACTATCTCGCAGCGGATGGATAACATAATAAGACTATGGGCTCTTTCGCATAGTGATGGGGAAAACAGACGTAATGTAGATGGCGGAGATCTGGATGTTAGTGGTGCTAATGTGACAGCTTCTGTCACAGCGGAGCTGGTGCATTCGTTCGTAGGTCATTGTGATTTGGTGAGGAGTATGGCGTGGCGTGTTCGTCCTCAGACGAGCGTATACCAGCTGATATCGTGGTCAAAAGACCAAGAGTTGCGCATGTGGCATGTAGATGTGCCGCAACTTGAGGCTTGCGGCTACAACACCGCGTCGTACCTTGCTGATGCTGCTCCTTCCGAGATCAATAATGGTAATGCTCGCCAGCACTCTGATGCCTACCGAATTATGCATGCTGAGTTTGCTGGGATGCATGCGCAACACTCCAAGTACAGTTTGTCCGCTCTGAAAACCGATTTTGTACCGCTTGTGGTGCCAAAGTCAGCAGTGCCACTAAACACAGATGAATACACGTTGGAGGGCAACAATAGTTCGTTGCAAGCTCTCCTTGCACTTGAGGAAGAGCTTATTGAAGGAGGCAAGCCTCAATCTCAACCAGAGAGCGGAGACGAAGAAGAAGGGACAATGTCAAGGACTGAAGAAAATGATGATGGTTATACAGACAATTCTGCGAGTACAAAGGAAAGATTCGCAAACTCCAGCGGTGCAAGAGCGCTACCGTGTCCTCGTATTTCTGGCGCCGCTTTCAGCGGTCCTAATATGCTGCTGGTGTTCGATTCACGGGTTGCAATTGGCCAATCTCGCAGTTCAATAGTTCCAACTGCTGTTGCTGCGGGCAAAGAGAGCAAACTGCAGGTGGCTTCAAACAAGCTACCGCGCACCTATGAAGAGTTGCTCGACTTACGAGACTCCCGCTTTGCAACAAAGAAGAACAAGAAACCACCTGTAAAACTTCTATCGTCAGCTAACATCATGGGCTCTATGGACGTTGGTTCAAATGATTGGTCAGGACAGCAACAGCAGCAGTCGCAAGAACTAATCGACAACGGTGTTCTTGTGGGTGTATTCGGTGAAGACATCGATAATCATGCTCGTTCTGCCCACGGGTATTGTCACTCGTCCATGTATTACTCCTCAGGTAGTGGTGGTCCAGGTGGAAACGATGACATTTTAGCTGGAGTGAATGAAACGGAGCCCTCCATTCACGAAGGACCCAAATATTCAAATACGTATTTCGCAGGTGCCGAGTATCGTTTACCCATAAACAATCCGGAACATCTTCTCTCAATGTCCTCAAGCGCTGTTGCTGGTCTCCAACTCTCTCCTCGTGTATCAGTTCGTCCAAGTACTGCAGAGAGGTTGAAGCGTGTGGAGCAAGCTGCGCCGGCTCTCAACCTCGATCTCAGTATCAGCGTAACCATTCTTGACCTGTCCAAGCTTTGTGGTGTGTCTTCAATTCTAATGTACCAAACAGACCTTGTCCCAGGACGTGTGACTCCGTCGGCGGCATCACCGAAGGCCAGTAATGCGGCAAAGCGGAAGAAGAGTCAGCTTGGATTTGTCAACCGCTCGATGATATCCTGGATGTTGCGAGCAGCGGAAGATAGGTCCGGCAGGCGTGCATCAAACAATAATCTGAGCCGTGTACTACAAAGTTTATTGAACGAGAACTCTGCCGCCAGCGGGCTAAAGAAAGACGAAGATACCTTGTTTGACGAATCTTGCACCGCATTAGCTGCAACGTGCGCACAAAACTCACACACTGCAATGCTAGCAGGTCGACATGATTTGCAGCAAATTTGGTCGCTTTTGGAGATCTCAGCGGCACCTGAAGTAAAACTACCCATTTACAGGAAGAACAACAAGTTGTCAACATCGGTTTGTTTGCAAACCTCGCATCCTTGGAGTGCGCATCCTCTCGGAAAACGTCTTGTGCACAAAGTTCTTGACATGTACGAACAGGCAGGAGATGTCCAAGCTCTAGCATCAATTGTATGTGTGTTGAAGCCAAGCGAGTGCAAGGTACAGGATGAAATCCGCAAATCAGTCACCCCTTCGGCGATTACGATGGAAAATCAGCTACCAGTAGTGCGTGAGGACAGACGTTCCAGCATTGATGAGGTAAGATCTAGTAATCCTGGAAATGCTGCAAGTGTAGCTATTGGAATGCGTTCTCGACGTTCGTCGTCGAATGCTCTATCGCAATTGGCAATGAATCTGGCCGATTCAAATGATGCACCTCCTCCTATGAGAGGCCCTCGTCGATCTAGTAGCCATAGTGATGCTCGACCACAGGGACTGCTCACCGACAAAGACGCCGCGTTTCTTCGTGCATCGAAAGACTGGTTGTTGGTAAGCGGCGGTAATACCAGCACTGCATCCAGTCGACACTCGAGTCCTATCCAAGATCGCACATTGAGTGGTTCCTCCGGATTGAGCACTATGAACCGTGACACATTATACAAGGCGTCAGCACCTGCCCAACACACTAGTTGGAAGATGGACTTTGATCGTTTGGAAAATCCCTTCAAGACATGGAGTGGGAATTCTAGCAAGGACGCTCCTCCACCTCGTTTAACCGCCGATACATTCCAGCCTCCGAGTCCAGCTATTAATGAAAAATCACCCGCGCCTTCAATGAAAGTGACTGCATCTCCACGACCGATCGTTGTACCACCTTCTCCTCTCCATACATCCCTCAGTACAACAACATGCAGAGAAGAAGAGATGGACGCGAATGATCGTGTGATACTACAATTAACTTGTCGCTCGGTCGATGATGAAAAGTGTCTGCTCTCGTTACAAGAAGAAGACAAAGCACGTTATGATGTTTACAAGGAAGCGTATGCTGCTGTGTTATATCGCTATGGTGCAATGAATCTCCGCAATGAAGTATTGAAAACAAAATCTCATGGAACGCTAGATGTACGAGGCATTGCCATGGGATTAATCTGCAGCTCCTGTAATGCAGTACGTGAGGAGGATGATATTCTGATGAGGAGGAGGAGGAGGAGGAGAAGGAGGAGAAGGATGATACATGGCATTGTCAATTGGCTAACGGGGTTGTTTGTTTGTCTGTGGTTGTTGTTCATTGTTCATTTGTTGTATAGAAAACCATTGATCCAGTCTGTACAACATGTCGAGACTTTGCAATGCGTTGTTCCCTATGTCAACTCGTGATCCGTGGTCAATCCATGTTTTGTATGACGTGTGGACATGGTGGACATGCTATTCATGTTCGTGAATGGTTTGAACTTGAGAAAGCATGTCCGACTGGATGTGGATGTTGGTGTAAACATGCTACTGCTACAATGCCAGCGTCTCAATTAGAACAACAAGAGACGGAAGAACAGATTGTTGTCACTTTATCCAGGTCTCACTCGTTCTGAGTTTCGTGGATGGGATTCATGTGGTATACATAGCACATCAGCCGAACGATGACGTTGACTAACGGATTGACTGGCTGAGAGAGAGAGAGAGAGTATGCGAGGAAGTGGTTTGAGTATCGAACGCTTTATCAAGGGCAAAGCCCAGCGATCAAAGAGGGATGCAAAGAGTAAGAAGAAGGTTCTTATTCACAAGGCAAAGCGTCGACGACAATATGAAAAGGTTAAAAAAGAATGTCAAGATCAAACTGGATTAACGGGTGGACAGGGAGAGACCGATACGAGTAAAAGGTCATTCTATGACAAGTTTTTCAATCAACTTCGAAGCGGTGAAGGAGATGATGACGAGACGAAAGAGGTATTTTGATGTGATTCTTGTTGATAGCACGACGTCGTGGAATGCGTGTCTGATGATGAGTTGTTGATGGGTATTTTACTACTGGATCAGGTTGATGATACACGTCGTGGAAAGCGACGAGAGGAACAAGAAGAAGAAGAAGAAGAAGAGCAAAAGGACGTGGTGAAAAAGCCTGATCCATTTTATAAAGCAAAGAAAAAGGCAGCAGTTATGAAGATGGAACAGCAAAGAGCTCGTGAAGAGAAGCAGAAACGACTAGTTGCGACGGAGAAGAAAGTGATACAGCGGAAGAAGCGTCATGTGAAACTAAGTCAGCGCACGGTGACAGGACAACCAGTAATGAAGAACCACATTCACGATATTCTGTCACGATTACAGACAGAGAAGAAGAAGCCACAAATGTAGCAACATCGCTCTCATGTGAGACTGTTGTGTTGAATGTATCAACAGCTCTACCTAACCCACCACACACGTGCTCTACATCTTTATCAAAGCTGTAACTTCTCGTGTTTTTTGTTTCCTTATTGATTGATAGCTCGTCAATTGTGTCATCAACATCTACACACCAATAAGATGATATCTCATTCTGATTAGAAAAAGCAGCACTTGAGCCTTTACTGCCTGTTTTGCTACTGCATCAACCTCTAGAAAGTAACATGTCCACTAACTACTGCAGCTACTACCTAGTAGCAATAGTAGTAATAGTAGTATCATGTAATGTCTCCTCTCCACGTCTCCTCCTCAATGACACACTCTCTCTGTCTTTACTTGGCCATCGGATGGGACGCAATATAGTCAATAACTTGAGCAGGAGTCACTAGTTTCTCCGATTCATTGTCTGGAATCTCAATTGTAAATTCTTCTTCCATAGCCATGACAACTTCCACAACATCCAAGGAATCCAGCCCCAGATCTTCTTGAAATTTCGCATTTTCCTTGACAATATCTGGATTCACTTTTTCAAAGTTCTTGACAACACCAAGGACACGTTCACTCACTTCATTACGGTCCAAAAAAGTCTGTGCACTAAAGAAACGAACACATGTTGGATGAGAGACAAACTGTGGACGGACAATGGCACGTGAGAGTGGGCGAATGGCAGTAAGAAAGCGGTTCATCCTGAAGCTTCGGGGTTAGTTTAGGGCTGAAAAGACTCGCGAATGGATGCGAGCGAGCCACAAACGAGGGGGATGTGATAATGTTAATGTGAACCACCTTAGACAAGGAAAGTGGGTAATGGTGTCCTACCTTAAATAGTAAATGATCGTATGGGTCTTTTGTGTTTTTTACCCAAATGATAAAATAATACCCAAAAAGGGGGACGATCATTTCATCTTTGGTACAAATGAAGCAGCTTGGAGATACATTGACAACGGATGTCGATACGTCACGCGACGAGACAAGACAAGCACAAAAGTGGTGGAATATACGAGAAATAGAGGTAGAACGTGATCTAACTGCAAGTCTACAACGTCGGATGGAGACACAACGTGCACAGCTCTATGCGTTCAAGACAGAGCAAAGCAAATGGGAACATGAGCTACAGTTGCGTATTTCCAAGTACGCATACGATCGTAAGCTATTGAGTGAACATAATGTGGAATTAAAGGAGAAGATTCTGATTATGGAGGAGAAATTAAATCAATATGAACGAGAAATGGATTACCAGGTGCACCATGTGATTGAATTAGAAGGCATGGTACAGGAGAATCAGATAAATGGACAGCAGATTCAAGCATTACAACAAGAAAACGACGAGCTACATTGGGTACAGAAAGAGATTTGATTTGATTTGATATGCGTGAAGAGCTGGAGATTGTAATAGGAGCAAAGTACTGACTCGTGTCGTTCGTCTTGTCTTTCTTTTGCTCTCATGATCATGGCTAGAAATTGGGACAATGGGAGAGATTTTATCAAGAAGAAAAGAAAATGATGGCAAAGAAACATACGATGCAACAAGAAGAGCTCTTGATGGAATTAGAAAAGCTGTTGGACATTTCTAAACATAAACTGATGGAGTTACAGCATGATGGAGCTTTTTGTCGGGACCAGAGTACGAAAGATGAACACGTTCGACAAGCTAGAGTACGACCGACAAATCCAAAGACAGACGATAGTTTGCTTGTAATGAGGATCAAGGAGCTTGAAGCGACGTGCAAGCAAAAGGTTTGGATGCACGATGATGTTGTGGTAGTAACAACAAAATGGTTGATCGATTGTACTCACGTAGGACCAAACCGTTTACTCGCTAAAGACCATTGTGGAACAACAAGAGACTGCATTTGACGAGAAGGTGAAGATCCTGACAGCCAAGTACGACCAAGTCAAGACCATTAACATGGCGTTGCAGGTAAGAACGTGTATATCTCATGACACGATATGATGACGCGTTTACATGTGAATCATAACACTGACCCTCAATCTCCTTGTTTATTATCCATTCAAGAAACGGCTTATCCACGCATTAACTGAAGCAAGTAGCAAGTCATAAAAAACAACGTCATCAGGAACCTGCTTGGCACTTCTTCTGTATCAATATGAATCAATTAACAAGGAGCAAGATGGATTCAATCAATTGAATCATATCACATGTAGCATAGAATGAATATAAAACTAGTCTTTTGTATCTTAAACCTGCTGACAACAAGTGTCAAATGCCTCCAACCCATTCTCTTTGGTTCATTTGTCTGCTTGGATTTCTTATTGTTGTTGCACCTGGATGTTGTATTTTCGCTGCCATTCATCTGCTGCTTTCTCCTTCTCTTGGATATTCTCCTTCAATTGTGATAAAACTTGTCTAATGCCATCACGATTGGCTTTTACAGCTGGAAGTACGTCTTCAACCGTACGTTCTACCAAGATACCACCGACCATACGATAAGCTTTACGATTCCTTGGTAATTCATCAAGTGTTTGAATCACACGATCATATTCCGTTGTCTCCACCTCTAGCTCTGCAATCTTTTCTCCCAATTGTCGCACTTCAGCGCGTAAACTCTTGTACGTGGCTACAACTTGCTGCTCTGTCATGTGCTCCACCATTTAAAAGTCTCTTTGTCTTGAGTATCAAGTATGAAAGATAGAAAAGTCTGTGGTTTACCTTAACAATCAAACATCCCTGTCAAAACGGATAGATAGATTAGTCATCTATTTGAGTCAAAACGTGGTGTCAAAATGAAGATATTGATGTAAATATATTAATCTTATTGTTTGTATACACGACCGGTAACGCACAGTCAGGGCCATTGGTTTTGAGGATCTTATAGTTTTTTGTGTGTGTGGTGGACATTAAATTTGTGTGTCTTCTTCATTTGCTTTATTTTTATTAAGGAATTCAACTGACTCAAGACAAGATAGAAACAACAAGATGCAGAACGAAGCTGGCCAATCAATTGATATTTACATTCCTCGTAAATGGTGCGTCTCGTATTTTACATAACATCATCAAAATGTAGTACTATTACTAGATGAAGCTATTTACTAATGCATCGCGTGCCTTTGGTATCTATCGTTATCTCGATTGTCGATTGTAGCTCCTGGACTAATCGCATTCTTGCGGCAAAGGACAATGCATCGGTGCAGATTAATGTCGCTCGTGTGAATGCTGATGGTGTTTTTACTGGCGAGTCAGACACTTTTGCTTTGGCTGGATACATTCGTCACCATGGTGAGGGTGATATGGCTTTGACTGAGCTGGTTCGTCAAGCTGATGCCAGGAACTAAACTGACAAAAAGTCATATCGACGTTACGCAACTGGAGCTGATTTGTCACATATGATGTGTGCATTCATGAGAGCTGCGTGTGGACCGTGCTAACGTCACTATTGGAGTCAGTTGCTTTTGCAGGGGTTTGACCATGTCTTCTGCCTTGTTTTAGTGGTCATTGTCTTGCATTAAATTCCTGGTCATATACAACAAGCAAGAATGAAGCATTCTCTGTTTCACCCGTCACACATGCATCTTGTTGCTTCTTCTGTTCTTTACAATAAAATGCCACGTTAGTGTGTGTAAAATGCACGTAGCATTGCATCGATTTGAGTGTCAAGATATACATACTCATGGCGTATCAGATGAATTTATGTTGTATTGACGTGTCCTGCCTGTATTTCTCTCTAGAAATGACAAAGTCACATGCTTCTACTCGTTCAATTCTTCTTCCCGTCTTGTCTCATAATACTAAAACTGTAAATCTCTTGCTTAGCCCTGAATCTCAATCAATACCAAACAATAAAGAGTCAAAACAAAGCCATGAGTCAATCATCCCCTTCTCTCAGTTTCGATATCATAAACAACAATCTCTCGATACAAAAGACACAAACCTGTGGACCACGTTGTACCATTGCTTCCGAGACCACTTTCATCGTATCAATGTATCGATTGATACACAATGCAAGACAATTCTGCTGCTTCCCATCCAGTTTTCCATTTGGACGTGCAATACATTTATCAAAACACTTTTCTTGCAAATTTTGTGTCAGTTCCTGTAGCGCCTGTTGCTGGACTTCCGATCGGACCTAGGAATTATTATAATATGAGTAGTTTTAGTGAAAGAAATATAAAACATACACCCACGATACAGTCATGTGATACTCGCTCGATCATAGATATTATACGTACTCGATTCACAAGTTCAGCCTTTTGCTGGGGGGTGAAAGTCGCACCGTCCATTGCTTCTCGCCAAGTCTTTTGGTCTTTATATTGGTGACAAGAAAGTTGCAAAAACAAACTTATGTTGCGCTTGGTGTGGGACACATGGATGAAATGCGCAACATCTTGTTTTCTAACGTTGAAACAAGACGGTATCTACCGGTATAACTCGGAAACTGACCCCATTCTACCAGTATCATCATCATCAACAACAAGAATGCACACACCACTTGATCGCCCACATCCTGATTGTCAAGCTGTGCGTTAGTTCATTGCTATAAGTATCATGTAACAGTATCGATTGCATACATTTATATTAATTACTAACACTTGAAGATTGAGCAGGAGATCAAGGCATTGCTTCTTTGTCACGAGAACAACCCGTACGCCAAGTTTTTTGGTGCTTGTAGTGACGCAAAGACAGCATTGGACTGGTGTTTTAAGAAAGAGAAGGAGCGAATTCGAGCAGAAAATCTAAAGCATGCAAAGGCATCAGATGCTTATGTGAGAAAAAAAATGCAAGAACGTCGTGATCGTATGGAGAAGGAAGCGACTGAATAAGTCGCGACAGATTACGAGACACGAAATATCCTTTTTTTGTGCTACGACACGCAACCACTTGTCAGGTGTTGTTATTGCATCTATTGATGGCACTGAAGAGAAAGTTTACAATGCAACACAGCAAAACAAAAGTCTCTTGGACGTAGTGGTCGGTGCTTTTGCATCGCACGTTTTCAAACCAAGTTTCTCGATCATTTGACACCTGTTGCATCAGATGCTATAGGCAGAAAATAACAAATTGATCGGTAGGTTCGAAATGTACTCTTTCTCCCGACCCTAACAAAGTTTGTCACCAGTCGGGCGGTCCCAAACCGAGTAGCGCGATGTTAGATTCCAGTAATAGAGCTTTCCACGGTTATCCAATGCAGACCGCCAATTGCCAAAACGCTGTCCAATAAGCACCACATCATCATCGTTGTCGTCGTCTTTGGGAACATGACTTGCCTTCACGTGGGTCTTTGGAATCGAGCTCCACGGGATCGTACCCTCCATGATATACTTGGCATCAACCTTTTCCAAATTCTTCAGCTCATGCTTCATATGCTCGGCCATGATGCTGGCAATACGCAAACCCTCCGGTGTTTCATTCTCCAACAGGTGTTCAGCTACGGCAGACTGCAACACATTAGGTCCATTCTTCAAGCCTTTGTCATAGGCCATGCAGGCGCTAAAACACATCTGCTGGACTTGAGCCAAGTGTTTACTTACTGTCAATTCCGAGATGTTTTGGTGGCGGATTCGTACAATGGTTTCCTCCCACAGTCGATCAAACATGAGCTCCTGCATCATTTTTCCCTCCTCTCCTTCTAGCGCCAAGCGGCGATGCACTAGCCACACATGCGTCATGAGCAGCGCCTGTTGCGCGCGGAAAGATCGTGGCAGTTTCAGCGCATAATAGTATTCTGGTACAGCCGTGTAGTTCATACAACTCTGAAGCACAGCGGTCGAGTTGCGGAACAGAAAGTCGTCCTTGTTCAAGAAGCCCAGCATCTTCCAGAGCCAATACCAGCGCTGAATAGGGTTCTGGCCTTTGGTCACGTCAACGTTAGAAGATCTTCCAATCATGCCACGACCTGGAGATGGTGGTGCAATGTCCGTCTCGGCCCACGCAAACTTGTGCTTATTTTCACAAAAATTCGGCCGTTGTGATACATTGGCGACGGACGCGAAGGCTCGGATCATCAACACTTGCGTCTGCCTGGGGTTCTGGTGCTGTAAGGAGATGAAAGAGTGGCTTACATCCATGTTTGTCATAGCATTGGCACTACTGCGCCGACTGGAGACAGCCTTTCTCGCCGTTGCTCGTATCGCTGCTACCACACGCATGTCGTCAATCAATATACTGCGAATCCCCAACAACTTGTTAAGTGCGTGTTTAGACGTACTTAAGATCTCGATATATATATTACGAAACGAAGTAATTTATGGATTTTGCTCGTCAAATCAAAGAGCTCTTAGCCAACAATTTAAAACCGACGTAGCAATGGGCCGAAAAGCGAGACACTCATCACGTACGGGTGATGGCGGTGCAGAGATTCGTTTGCAAAAGAAGAAGCTACAGGAGGCAAAGAAAGATCAGAAAGAAGCAGAACTGACGTTTTATGATGATCCATCTGAACATGAAAGTGACAATGAGCAAGTCGAGTCCGAGGACGATGAATTAGCAGGTGAAGAGGTGTTGGAACTTGGTGGAGATGCGGAGGAAGAGGATGAGGATGAGGAAGAGGATGTTGATGATGGTGATGATGGCAACATGTATGATGCTAATAGTGAGCGCAAGAAGGTGATGCAGATGGAGGGCAAGTGGGGCAAGTCCCGCAAGACGTTTTATTCTGCCGATACGGCCGATTACGAGCTGGAATCTGATGAAGAAGCTGCAAAAGATGAGGAGGAAGCTGCTCTTGAACTACAACGTAAGCAGGCAGAGATGATGGACGACGAGGATTTTGAAATTGATGCACCTGAAGCCGATGGAGATGACGAGGAGGGAGAGGAGGAAAACGAGGTGATGCCTGTGGATGATGAAGAAACAATTGGCAAACAATTGGCGGATATTGCCACGCTTGCTGATAATGGCAAAGGAGGTGCTGAGAGCATAGAGCAAGTGCCAAGAGACTTTTCTAAAATGTCCAAGAAAGACAAGTTACAGATTGTCAATCAGTCGGCTCCAGAGTTGTTAGGTTTGATGTCGGAGCTGGAATTAACAACAAAGGAGCTAGAGGAGGTAGTCTCGCCGGCCGTACACAAGCTGCGACCAGTGCGACGGAAGTCACGGCAAATGCAGATGGGTCTGCGCTACTTGATGACAAGACAGAACCTGTTACTGAACTATTCGGCGAATATCTCATTCTACTTGCTGCTGCGTGCAGAAGGCAAGAGTGTGTCCGATCACCCAGTGCTGATGCACTTGTTGCTACTCAAAAAGCATTTGAACAAACTCCAGTCCATTGATGAAGTGTTGAACGATCAGTTGCAGGATCTGCTAACAAAGGAGCTACCGGCTGAGCGGGAGTCAAAGGTCAACGACGGCCTTGAAAAGTTTTTTGCCAAGCCAGAACGCAAACGATGCGCTGAAAGCGGGAAGGTGTCAGTTACGAAGGCGAAGAAACAGAAGAAGTCGGCAAATGTATCAGCTCAAGAACTGGCCGAGGCGGAGCGTTTTTACGAGCAGACCGTCCGCGACCAATCGGTACTAAAGAAGGCCAAAAAGGACCTCTACACGCACGAAAATCCTGCAGCTCTTGCTACCAGTGACGAAAACAGCAGCGAGGAGGGCGAGACCGGCAAGCGTGGCGCGTCATACCAGATCATGAAGAACAAGGGACTAAAGGCTCACAAGAGCAAGCTCAATCGCAACCCGCGTGTCAAGAAGCGCATGCAGTACCGCAAAGCTATCATCAGGAGAAAGGGTCAAGTGCGTGACGTGCGCGTGGGCGAAGCCGGCAAGTACGGAGGCGAGACTACGGGTATCAAGTCGAACCTTACACGCAGTCGCAAGATTCGCAACTAATGTGGAGAAAGCTAGTCAAATACATCGACCCGTCTGCGTCTTACAATCGTTATCTTCCGGATCAGTTTACCCGCTGACTGACTGCTGTTTTATTGCTCGGATCGAGCTATGCCATTTCCCGCGATGATGGTAGCTGCTATAGTAGCTAGTCCACCAAAATACACACACGCCTGCGTATAGCCTACGATTGTTGTGCGGCCTCGATGGGACTTTCCCACAGTTTGTGTTCTACAGCACAAGAAACACAAACATTGTCTTTGTGTTACTTCATAAGTTCAAAAATTCATAAATTGCTACATCACTGTACCAATGTACACGGGAATAACACTCAGTTCATCCTCAGCTTGTTCAATCAGTTCTTCGAGCTGTCCACAATTAATCTTGCGCTCAATAACGTCCTCCTACATCCATAAAACAAACAATCAGTCGATCACCTTTTGTCCTCATGGTCCCCGTAACATGTCGTTTTTCATCCCATCATCATTCTCTTACATCCACATTGGTCTCTACCACATTAAGACGATACTTGGTGATTTCTTCTACCGCATTACGGTAATTCTTGGCCTCAGGTGGAAGAATCTACAAATACAAATAACAACCACAGATCAGCAGTCATAAAGTAACTCCTAAGTAGTGATGAGTTTATTTTCTGTAGTTTGTCGTACTTTGACTTCCTCTAACGTCCGGCGGTAGATAGTAATAAGATCTTGACGAGCATTTGGGTTTACTTTAAGTCCCACTAAACCCGTCGATGTTTTTGTTACTGCCATTCGAAGCATTCGTGAAGCAAACATGATCAAGACTTGGAAGAGCTTTACTTCTGCACGACGTTACAATAATTATTGCAGAAAGGATCACCGCAAATGTCTTGATCTTGTCTGATTGGCTAAAAAGTATTCTATTTGATCCATTATCACTAATGACTATTTACAATTCAGTCAACAATTCAAATCTGAATTGAGACACAAGATCAATTACACAAGATAAACATGAGCGGCATCTTTCCAGGCAATAGTAGTCTAATCCAGCAGCTCGACAGTGCGTACATGAATACTCGATACTTGACAATGATAATGCTGTGTATTATACGCTTCCGTCTTGTGATGTGATGTATTGACTTGTGAGCGTCGCTCCTGTTGTTGTTGGGGCTTTATATTTATGCAGAGCAAGTGCTAATGGTCTTACGCGATGGCCGTCACCTTGTTGGGTATTTACGAAGCTTTGATCAGTATTGTAAGCTGTATTTTGATAGTTAATAGCTCGATACCAAGAAGAAGAAGAGTACAACTCATACAATGTCACTGTCTATATATTATCATAGCAAACATTATACTTGAAGACACATATGAACGTCACGTAGCCGATGGATTGTTCTGTGACATTGAACTAGGTCTCAACATTATCCGGTATTATTTTTCATTTCCACTAGAAACTAGACAGGTGGCCGACTACTGACGGATACTACTGAGCTATTTCTTTGTTGTTATGATGATGATTGTCTCATGGGTCTGCTGGAAATAGTGGTGACAATATTGTTCTTCTTGGTGAACTGGTACTGAAACTTGATTCGATAGTGTGAGATAACTGTTCTTCTTCTACTAATGAGGTGCTCCATCTGCTATTCGATATGATTGATATAATAGGACAGTAAAAAAGAACGTGATCAACCACACATGAAACGCGTAGAATTGGAACAGGTGTTGGAAGCTGGCGAGCAACTGAATGAAAAAGGCAACACTAGTGTCCGTCAGCAATGGGACTTTGACGAACAGCACTAATGATGAATCTCGTTAAATAAAAGAGGAACAATCATTTTGTACCAGTCATTCTTTTCTCCATTACGTTTTGAAAATTAGTTATGGAAGGGTTTGTTAGTATGTACACCACATGAAATAGTTATGTACAATACATCGATGTCAGCAGAACCGCTGATTTAAGTGAGTGAGTCATTACAGACGTTTGTCATGGCTGAAGAGCAAAAGAGCGTCATCATCAAGTTACCCGAAACGGATAGTACGAGTCTCACGTGTACTGCACGGATTCTAGCACATGAATGTGCAGATGCAAATCTCGAGTTTATGCGTTGTAAACAGCGTGATGCTAATCCACAAGCGTGTCTTGTGCAGGGTGAAAAGGTGACGGCTGCCGTGCTAAAGACGTACGTTGATGACAATAGCTATACCAACCTCTAAGTGAACGCCATAAGCATGATGAGAGATTACAATTCATACCTGACGTGTGTGTCTCTTGTCTTTTGTTATGAATAGACTTCGTGACGCTGAAACTAATTGTGGTGAGACGTATTTGGCGTACAAGAAGGCGCTGAAGAGTAATTGGCACCGGATTGATGAGACGCGGACGGAACAGATTGCGCTTGAAGAGTGCTGGCGACAGTACAAGGGATACAATCAGGCAAAGAAGGAGCAGTAGGTTGTGGTGTGGTGAAGTGAGCTAGGAAGTCATTGCTCTTGCCTTTAAATCACAAAAGTTCTTGAGACCAATGTGACGTCCTCTCTCTCACACACACACACGCGCGCATTTGTGCAGCCTGTTCGACCAGTGTTGACGAAGAGCAGAGACGAATGATGGAGAGAAATGAAACATGCAGTCAACAATTAATTGCATTTTTGCTTTGAGGATGCATGTCGGACTTTACTGAGTAGTATCTCCAGGTTCACAGCTAAGGATGCGTACCTTCATGAGCTAGTTGGACTGCTATGCTGTGGACTGTTTCTCGTTTCATGTGTGTTTGAAAGGACCACCACCTACACCAGCATCAAGGCACGCCTCGGTCGTATCTGCAAAAGCCGATAGACTCGTCGCTGTAGTAGTTGAAGCAGTTGGAGTAACTGTAGATGCAGAGGAGCCTTCAAAGCGTCCACGGTAAGCCCACAAGCCCAGCGCGGGGTTGGAGACGTAGAAAAATCGTTCGCCATTTGCGTCTGTATTCCATCCGTCTTGGAGCTTGTCGATAGGGTATTTGTTGCTCATTTCTTTAAGATCACCGTAGCCAAAGCCAACACCCTCGACCTCCTCTTTCGTGAGATGCCCTGGGCAGTACGTGATGCGGAAGCGGCCTTCGGATGATCCGTGAATTAGATGCGCTGCTGCACTCAGATTTTGCATGAGATCACGGTTAGCATTGAGGTGGGCTAGCACTTCCTGAAGATCCGAAAAAGTAGTATGTTAGTAACCAAGCAGCAAGACTAGACAAGAGGGGGGATCGTGTGCTGTACCGGAGTCGTGCGATAGCCATATTTTCGAATGAGCTCGTCAATACGCTTGTCCTCGCCAAAGCGAGCTACGCCCGGAGCAAGCACGACAAGTTCGCCGTCGTCTGCAATAACCATGCGTGTACGATAGATGGACTTGTTACCGAGCCACGTGGACTTAAACTCCTCCGGGTCCAGGTATACCACGACCTTGTCAATCGGCGCATCCAGAAGCTCAAAGTTTACCTCGAGCGACAGCTCGGCAGCCTTCATGAAACACTCTTCATCATCTCCAATGAAAATGCCTCGCGTCACGAGGTCTCCGTTGTCTCTGCAATGTACACACATGACCGAGTCAGCAATGGGTCTTTCATTCTGAATCGAACAACATAACACACCCTCGTCCGATCACCGTTTGAATGTAAATGAGAGGCAACTTTTGCAAGAAGTGGGTGGAGGCATAGTTGAGAATACGACGCAGAGGGTTGTCAGCACGCCCCATCATTCGCTCCATGCCATACACAGCCCCGATGAAGTGCGAAAAGTTGATGCCCTCACTACCTCCGGTGCCAACAAAAATGTTCTTGTTATAATTTGCCATTCCCATGACCTCGTGCGGGACAACTTGACCAATAGATAGTACTAAGTCATGACCACCTTCCCATAGCTAAGCAGCAAAACAACAAGACACCACAACAGTCACGCAAAAACCTATAAGCTGCCGCAACCATCCACTGCAAACGTACCAGTTTGTTAATTTGTGCCGGCCATGGCTCGTTTACTTTGCCGTCACTAGCCTCCAAAATAAGGTCTGCCGGCACTTGACCAACTGTCACGACATCATTCCTGCTCATATAAGAGAGAGAAGATCAGCATCATCTTGACACATGTTGCCAACTTGCAAGCAATCCACCTCCAGTCATGCACACGAAAGATTTCCTCGGGTATCTCGCCAAACATCTTACAACATCAAGCAATGAGCCACTTGTGAATCAAATCAAAGCAACAATCAAGTAAAAGGCTCACTTTAGTAATCTCAGTGTCCGTCATGGCATCATGTGTGCCCAGTGCCGGTAACACGTCAGTCACCTTGTCCTGTAGATACTCGTATGCATACTGTGACAGGACGCCAGCCTTGCTGCATAATATCAATTAGAAAACACAACCAATCATCACATGGATAACAACAAGCCTGAGAGCTTCCCTCTCTTTCATCTTCCATCTTCCATCAATTAATACGTACGAGTGGAAGCGTGTAAAGTCTGGAGGCACAATCACCACACGCTCAAACTTGGCACTACGTTTGGTCTCAAGGTTTTGCAGTGTTTCGTGTACAATCTCACGTAATCGTGCATCTGACAGCTCAGTGGTCTTGGAACCTTCAGCATAGAGTAGTGGCATAGTAATGAGGACTGGCTGGTGGGCGACCGAGAAGAGAGGAGAACTTTGAATCTCGTGTCAAAGCTTTTAAGTGAGTGGCTAGGAGATCAATGTCTCTATAAAGAGACGTGGCCGAACTGGATCGAGTTAGGCAGGTCTTGCATGATTATTATGATAGGACGACCTGCTGAACTCGATCTAGGACACTCTTCATGAGGACCATGGCTTCTCTCGATGAGTAGGTGAGGATATCTCGAAGCACGCGTGTAAAGTGGTGCCGTGGATGACAGTGTCCGACTTGCAGTGGTCGCGTCTGGCAACGGCTTACTAGTTACCGGACTGCCTCAGGCCAGAAGGCCACTGCTCCATCCTGTGCTGTAACGCGTTTGTCGCGGAAGACACGATTAGCACGCTTGATCCAAAGACTTGTGGTCGCGGTCGTGCAGAGGAGCGTCCAGCATCGAGCCCATTCGACAGCAAAGCTATGCGATTCGTCAGGGTACCTAGAGCTACCATCCGTTGGATATAGGACGAGAAGGGCGGCTGGTTTGAGTCGCACATGCGCATTTCCAGCGTTGCAATCGCCCAGGCTACACCCTAGCGCCTTCCTAGTGGCTAATGACTTGAGCTCAAGTCGCTTGAGCGAACAGATAGCTCCAGAAGAAGTGCTCGTACGTTTCCCAGTTGCTGCGCATCGGGTCCCGATGGGGTTGGATTTCCAAAGGATCGACTCGTGTCAAGAAGTTCAGTTGGTGCGTAGCAATCCAGTGTGCAGTCTGAATTTGATAATTCGTGAGGCCGTCAAGTGAGCTAACAGAGTCTGGGGGTCCTGGTCTATGAGGTCGTGCTGCCAGCTATACGCTGCCACTTTGATTGCAAGAGGTGATGTACACCGACGTCTTGTTTGCAAAGTGCAAGCCAGTCAGTCGAGATAAATGAACAGGATGCCGCTGTGATACGTATAAAGCGCTGCCCAAGGAAACCCCTGGATATTGCGATGCGCTTCGAAGACGAGCGTCCCTCAGATTGCGGCTGCAAACTGCACGAAATTGCCAGTCTTCACCTCCAGCGAATGTAGGTCCCCCATCAAACTCCAGTAAATCCTAGTGCTGGCCTGCTTTAGGCGGCAGGTAGTGATCTGACCGACGCGCAACCATTGCAGGGCGTGTTTCTGCCTTTGTGTTTTAGCCGTGACCGGAATCAAGATAACCCAACGCCTTCTGCATTGTAAAAAGCCAGGGTTGAATATGGCGGTCTGGATCACAATCAGCAAAATTGCTCCATAGAAATTGCATATAGAGGTTCTATAGGACGCTAAGAGCCCAGACCGGTAAAGACTACAGCCGTAAACAGCACTCTAGACAACACGATCGTATTGGGAAAATGTATGCAATTCGTTGAGTAGTTGCGACGGATGTGGTGGGAAAAGTCGGCTCGCATGTTGCATAATTCGCATATGTCACCTCAGGTTTCGACTTGGGCGTCTTCTCTTTGGAGCTGCTGACTCGAATTGTGGGTTGAGTCATGGCTGTGTCAAGGATTACAGATTGACTCTTATTGGGTTGCACCTGCAATCCTGATAGGTGGCCAAACCAGTTCGCGAGGTTCAAGGCTGGCCGGATCTGCTTCGTGTGGCACAGAAAGATCGTGAAGTCGTCGACAAAGGCTGAGACGATGTGAGCTCGATCAGGCCGCCCCGGGACTGTAAACCATGGAGCTGAGTATCCTGTCGACCGCCAAACCCGAGACTCGCCGCCGCTAAGGGAAAAGGAGAGAGGTACGCGGGCAGTCTTGCCGAATGTAACGGGCCTTGGCGCTAGAGGATCCCGTTACCAAATAGAGAGCCGATATCCCGTTATGGTATTCTCCACAAATGTAATAAAGGTGAATGAAAAGCCAAATTGAGCGTAGCGTTTCCCTCAAAAATCCTCTGTCCACAGTATCATATGCCTTGCATTAGGTCCAGAAGGTAAGCCTCCTGTAGTAAAATGCTACCTTCTTCTGGAAGGCCACCGCCATCAGCTCGGCTAGCATTATGACGACTGCTCTCTGCGTCTGGCACCTGCAAACATACTCCTGTTGCGAATTGCCTAGTAGGAAGGATCATCTGCATCCCGTTGCGATAACCGCTGCAACCACCTTGTCGAAAGTTTGCAGCAGAAAGATGGGGCGATAAATCCATTGTTGCATCGAATTGTGCTTCCCTGTTTTCAAACAGGAATGATGAGAGTCATGGTAAAAAAGGGTGGAGGGTCAGCCTCGACTATGATCAGAACAGCTACGCCCGTAGAAGCCGGCACCATGATAGACATCGTATCCTTGTAGAAGTTGTTGTTGAGCCCGTCTACCGTAACCGCTTTAAGCTGCTAATGACGGGGACCGGCTAGTACCTCGACTCCGTAACAGGCACATGAGGCGCACATCTTCCACCCCGTTTCACCTTACGGCCGTTGAAATCGTGACAAAGTCGGTAACTCCAGCTCCAGGGAGCTCAGATAATCTGTACATGACTAGTCCAGAGATGGGCTGCCACTCACTGGAAAAATCGTCAGCATTTCTCGCGCGGATATGAATGGCCTGCCATCAATTGCCAGGATTTCGAGACAGTGTGATCACGTTCCCCGGTCCGACACCCGTTTGTATTGCCTCACTAACGTTCTCCACGTTTGTTCAAGCTGGTTACTATTAAAATCATGTGGTTCGTACGACGTCCTTCCTATTCTGCTTTATCCCATTGACTCTGCGTAGCCAGTCACCTTCACCATGCTTCATCTTTTGAGCGTACCGGTGGCCGCGTGACGGCTGCGCGACACGTCGAACGACCTGTGCTTGGTGGAGGCCCGTCAGGAGCTCTATTAGGTTGCCCTGACCAAACAGAGTACGCCACCATGTGAGACAGAGTATGCGTCATGGACGGGTATGGACACTCTAGGACGGTTGTTGTTGATCGGAATATTTAAGCGATAGGGACAGTCACACCCACTAGACTTGACCCCTTCCAAGCAGCCGAAGGTAAATTCAACCAATACGACCAGCAATGTCCCTCAGTCCATAGGAGTAAACTAATCGCGACGATCATCAATCGTATCGTCTATTCGTTGTTTGATCAGATCCATAGCGTCGGCCAATGCCAAGGTTGCCACCAGCCGTCCGAGCGCCGCCGTGGTCTTAGCAAGAGCAGGATTGAAGACTGCAGCTTTTCAGTATTATGTTTGACAGGGTTTATGTATACAACATAATACCGATGACAGAAATGTTGTCCCATTCTACTACCGGTATCTACAACAAAAAACTGATGATAATGCTGCGACGACTAAAGGTCTTGGCATTAGTGGCACCGCTCTTGGCAGCATTTACTGACGCCTATGCGATCAGCGGCACCGTATTCCTTCCAAACGAAGTGACAGCAAAGGTCGAACCTTTAATTGTAAAGTTAAATGGCGGGGAACAAACGACTTTTGTGCGCTCGGACGGTTCCTTTTTGTTCCACGACGTGGCGCCTGGTCGTTATGTGGTGGATATTCCATCCACACGATTCTTGTTTAGCCAATACAAAGTGGATGTAGGAGTTGATGGTCTCATTCGTGCACTTGAGTACAAGTATGTGGGTGCTTCCAAGACTAGTGCTAACTATCCACTCCTTGTGGAACCTGTCAAGCAGCTCGACTACTTTGAGCAACGCGAAAAGTTTAATCTACTTGGATTGATAATGAATCCATCTTTCTTGACTATTGTAGTGCCAATTGCATTGCTATATATTCTACCTAAACTAACAGAGGGAATGGGTAAGTGGTAGATAGATAGAGAGATAGAGAGAGGAGAGATCTTGACGGATGCATTTGATGCTTTTTGTTGTTGCAGACCCGGAGGAAATGAAAAAGGCACAGGAAGAAATGGGATCGACAGACCCGTCGTCACTATTGGCTGGAATGCTGGGCGGTGGCCAGACAAATGTTGATGACAGTGACGATGATTAGCTCTGCTTTTCTTGATGATGAATTATAAGGGAAGATATCCTACCGACTTGTTAATTCTGTGGTGTAAACACTATATCAACTCGTTTGTCTTTATCTCCTTCTTCTCGCTCTTGTCTGTGGCTGATGGTGTATTAGATGAACATGGTAATATTGGGGTTCCAACGACGATTATCGACGTTGGCCGTAGTCACTTGATGAGTCTCAAGCGCCATGCCGTGCTCCGCGTCGACATCCTCGACGCTTGTGGCTTTGGCTCCCCAGTCGTTAATTGCTTTATCTTCACGCAGCGCTCTTACAAGGTCTTCCATCTGCTCAATGCTTCCACGCAGCGTCATCCGAACCAAACTTGTGTCGTGACTGTCATTGGTTGCCCCGCCCTCTAGTCCTCGCTTTTGCATGGCACGGATAACCGTTTGACGGAACATAACATTTTGCACCTTGCCACGTACTTCTAACCACCGGTCCATGAAGTTACTGTGAAGATTTTTGTCTCCTGGATGACGACTACTTTCGTATACTGATGGTCAAATGTATAATGAATGATGAGAATGAAAGCAAATGTTAAAGTTACTAGAAAGTTTGCATCCCTTAGAAAAAAACTACAAAGACCAGGGGGTAGGCAGACAAATGCCGTTCACAGTCAATCCAGCTACAACTGTGCATGTCTAATGCGTCTATTCCTCAGCGTTCTTTTTCTTCTTGTGTTTCTTCTTCTTCTCCTTCTTGTCTTCCTCTTTCTCTGCAGCCTTTTTCGCCTTGTGCTTCTTCACCTTCTTCTCTTTTTTCTCCTTCTTCACCTTGGGCTCCTCTTCCTCGTCAGCATCCTCCACCTTGCGCTTCTTGCTCGACACCGTCATGTCAGCATCCGCGTTGTATGTCGTGCTCGTCTCCGTCTTCGTATACTTTTTTGCTTCGTTCTTAGTTTTGCCATTGCTATTAGGCACGCCCGAAAAGCCATTCTCTAGCTGCCGCACACGAGCCTCAACTTTAGCACGGTTGTCAAAGCCAATTGTAGCCTCAGTGGCATCGCCCAGCGCATCTACACGTATAGCTAGCGCCGTCTTGGCAGCCAGCACACGCGAAATCTTTCCCTTATGCTTGGGCGCAGTCTGACCGATTAGCGAGGCGTGATAAATCAAACCATACTTCGGTGTGTCGTGCTTAGTCTTAAGAGCACGGAAAAGAGCCTTTTCGGCACCAAGGATTTGCACAGTAGAAGCAGGATGTTTAGCCAGATTCATTAAACTACCAGCATGAGCAATAAGACGAGCACCCACAAGCTCTCCCACCATAACTGTCAGATTGGGAGCAATGGCGTTCATGCGATTCTTCAAGTAGTCGAAAAGCTGAGCGCGATACTCCGTTAGAGAAATGACCTGCTCACAAAGAGCCGAGATATTGGTCACATCCTCCTCAGAAATATCCGTTCCCATCGAAACTTCGCACACCTCGCGCATAGACGCCTCCACGTCTTCTGACAAGATGTCCGAAAAGTCAAGGCTCTTAACGTTCGAGCGTATACCCATCTTTAGTACGCACTTGGCGTATTGCAAATTGTCCGAAACAATCTTACCCATCTCTGGAAAGTGCCAGCCAAACCATTCACGAACACGCATTGAGTACGTGTTGATTTCCTTGTCCAGTTCATCAAGTAGACCAATTGCTTGCACAATCATCGTGTCTACCTTGTCGGCGCTAAACTTGAGTTTGTAGCGGGAGAGCGAGTGTGATAATCCGAGCGTCATGGCCTTCAAATCGTCATCCTCTAGACCAGTAATGAGTGTTTCCATATTAGCACGGATGCACCGCATCACCTCATTAACAGCGCTATCGTTAACGCATGCAATACTGAGCTTTTCCTTGATAAGTGAACCAAGCGCTTTGTCTGACACAGCCAGCTTATCCTTAAGACCAGCATCCACTACGTTCTTCTTCAAAAACTTCTTCAGTGTCTTGCTCATCTTGCTATCTACCATATCAGTAGCAGCGGCTACAGCTTCCGTCGTGTCCTTGAATGCATTGAAACCCTTAAGCTTCAGCACTTTCGCGGCCTTCTCAGGAGTCGAAAAGTGTTTATACACATCGTCAGCACTAGCCAGTTTTGCTTCATCCTGTACTTTAAACAGCGCATGGCCTGCAGCTGTCTCAAAGAGCACCAACATTGTAAAAATAGAGAACAAGAGTCACCTTTACCTTGTGGGGCAATATTCACGACTGATCCATGGCGTGGTGGCCAATGGCTTTAGCCTAGCGTATAGCATACAAATTGTTATCTGGCATGATCCCTCTCGAATTCGATGCCTATCGATTGGCTGCAGTGTGAAACAAATAATATGAACCAATACAAAGACGTTCGTGCCAAAGATCTACGATATGATTGGGCAATATACAGGTAAAAGCTTTCACTGGTGGTGAAGCATTGTACTGGTAGCTTAATGAAGAAGGTCTTCCATTTGTTGCAAAGTTCCTCTCCTAACAAGTAAGTGATTATGTTTGATAAGACAATAGCTGTGTGTGTATAGGGCTGCTCGGTGTGTGGTGGTGGTGGGAGAGATCTTCATGAAAATCGCCATTCTTTCCCATCGGCAGCACCTCTCGACTAGACTTTGTCGTTGAGTTTTGGGTGACGCGTTATAATGACGATGTTTCTTAAGACCGAGACTGTCCTGTGCGACTGATATGGACACTTAATGCTTCATTGCTAAGAGTTTCATCCAGGAGTGCGGTGGTACAGACGTGTTCTTAACCTTTTCGGTTCCTTATGTGCTTTAGCAGACTCGAATATGGCTGACTACGACGAGGAAGAAGTGACACGCGGTGTGACGGTGCGTGATGTGAAGCCCGCTGAATTTATCAAGGCATACGCTGAGCACTTGAAGCGATCAGGCAAGATTGAGCTACCTGCATGGTGGGATGTTGTTAAGACAGCCTCATTCAAGGAGTTATCTCCAGCCGACCCGGATTGGTACTACATCCGCGCTGCATCCATCGCGCGTAAAGTGTATTTGCGCCAGTACACTGGTGTTGGCTCACTCAAGAAGGTTTATGGTGGCGCTGCTCGCAAGGGTGTGCACCGTCAGCACTTTCAGAAAGCTTCGGGTGGTCTCATTCGCCATATCCTGCATCAGCTGGAGGAGATGAAGGTCGTGGAGAAGTGCCCCGAGGGTGTGAATAAGGGTGGCCGAAAGATCACCAGCCATGGTCAGCAGGACTTGGACCGTATTGCTGGCCAGGTAGTGCGTGCCTAAGTTAGGAAGGTTTTGCAGTCTTTGCTTTAACCTGAATGAACCGAGAGCCTGAATGAACCGAGAGCTATTTTGCAATAAAGCTTGAATTGATGCGCTTGACGCGTCAGCTTTTTCATCCGTTGATATTTTCCTTATGTCTTCTTGAGCCATTACCCCTCTATGTGTATCCGTACCATTGAGTGTGACATTCATTCAACTTGACAAATATCTTCGTGCTAAGGTCTTTACACGCGCGTCAAAAACCTCGGAATAGATGGGTGTATCGTATTCGTAGAAGGGGTTCATTAGGAGCTAAATAAATGCAAGATCAGCAACAATTAAATTCATCAATATGGCTACAAACAGTTGCAAGTGACACAGCCTACTAATTTGTCTCGATTTCTCACCTTTACATAAAGCTCGTACACCTCTTGAAAAAAAGCTTTGATAGTATCAGCGTTGCGATTCTCGTGCAACAACAGAAACTTGACACCGGAGGCAGTCACAAAAGCTGACACGAGCTGGTCATTGAATCGGTCCACCACCTTAAGTGCCATGGTAGGCGTCGTCCACATGATTTCATCTACTAAGTCTAAAGCAGCATGCAATATAAACTCGTCCACGTGTGCGCTTTCCTCGCGTCGCACACGCATTTCCATCTTGTACAGCGGCTCCTTGGAGCCTACAACCACAAACATGATTTTGTTGTTGTTAGTATGTTGTTTGTAGCATAAAAGCCTTTATTAATGAATATTATTAAACCTTAAAATATATTCCCGTTATGAACATGAACCATCTTTTGTTAAGTAATAAGGACCGGAATTGCCATGAAAGGATCGAGGCATAGTCACAATGAATCAAGATTATGCATGCATGAACAACAGACAAAATACATTCCTACTGACAGAAAATTCACATTATTTTATTCACGTTGGGATGTTGAAGACGCTGACTTCTGTGCTCGTGGTGCTTGGACTTGCTAGCACAAACCAAGTAACTGCTGGACCTTTTGCTTACGGTATTTGTCAAACAGGATGTAACGCCGTCGCTGTCGCGTGCTACGCTGCTGGCGGTGCGGTGTTTGGTACCGTGACAGCAGGCGCTAGTACTATTCCCGCTATCATCGCGTGCAACGCTGCGTTGGGGACGTGTATGGCCGCCTGTGTTGCCGCTGGCTTGTCGCCGACGCCGTAATCGTATCATTTATTTAGTCGAGTAAGACGTCTCGGTTTGTCGCAACCCATTCATTCAAAGACCTACTGTTTCTTATTTGTTATGACGCAGGAGCCTGTGAGGATTCATAGCGTATTGTTCTTATCGCATACATGGGCGTAGTTGGTTAATTCAGTACGAGATTCGTCGAACATTGTTCTAAACCAAGTGCTTCATGCTCGTTTCAACTTGCTTTTCTTCTTATCCACGCCAGGCAAGCATAGTGCAGTTCGCCAAAAATGCCCCGCGGACGGGGGTGTATCATGTGTAAACTCCGTAGTGATGGAAATGTCGAGGTGATTGCTGCTTGAATCATACGTTAAAAGCAAATATTTCGTGCTAACGATTTCACGAGCTTAAGACTGTTGTCAAGTCATTCCATGCGCATGACCATCACGATGCAGCTTGTTGACAAACTTGTACCGCACATCAATATGTTTCGCCCTGCCTGAAGTGTCTTCGTCTCCGATCTGCTTGATCGCCGCCTGGTTGTCCACGTGCAATTTTATCTTTTGTTCGTGTCAACGACAATTTCACGGAAAATTCCGCGCAGTCCCATCAGTTCGCGCACAACATGTTGTGCGGACAAAAACTACGCCTACACGTTGACAAAGCAACTCCATCTTGTTTCTTGCAGAGCCATCCTACAACGAAATCATTCAAACAGAGAACACTGCCACTAACCGACTTTCGATTCTTGACATCAGCCGCGTAATCCGTGTCGCTATACCCATGCACCATAACACTTGTGTCTTCGCTCGCTCCTTCCGGTACGGACATGTCGAAATGTAAACCAATCGTTTCTTTTAAGTATCGCGCGATTTTCTTTCAAGTTTCCAATCTAGGACTTTATAAAGCAAAACTCAACTTCCCAGATATCATTTGAACATGTCTCCTCGTAAGTCGTTCCGTAAAGTCGTTCGTTTTCACACGCAACAAGACGTTTTTTATAACGCCCCACTTCAACGTTAGCGCGTTGCATGGTCTTAAACACACATGTGAAACAGAGTCGCATCCTTGAGTCAAACTACAACTTTACACATTACGTTCGCCCCAAAGCATCAATCTCCTCCAGAACAGCTGCTTCCTCAAATCTCCACGTCCTTGCTATTCATCGCGTCTTGGTACCCGCGTGGATCCTCTCGTGTCACCACCATAACTTCACTAACAGAAATATGTTTCTTGCCCATGTTTCGCGTCACTCTCCACAACGGCGATTCATTGTCTTCTACAGTCGCCTCATCCTGTATCTTCGTTTGGTTCTCTGAAACAGCATCTTAATTGCAAAAATAGGGCTCTTTCCTTCGTCAACTTGCTCATGATTCAGTATGCCGTCCGTGTGAAGATAATACTTTAGCTGGGTATTATAGAGTTCATTCAGCGTCTCAATGTTCCGCACATGCTGCGTAGTGGTATTAGAACGCGCTCGTTGGGTATGTGAACCTTGTATCCCTTGGTCTTGTCATTCTTACCAATAATCATAGCTACCTCTGCACGTGCTTTAAGTGACTTCTTTCCAACATATTGACGCACCGTGCAGGGGCTTCCAACAACCACAATATCGATAATGCCGGGCGGCTTCTTCGTCAGCACATTCATTGGCAATTCTTGAACTGGATTGGACATGATAGTCCATCAAAGTACAGTGAGTCTTATCATTACTCGCGATCTGCTACCATCTCAGACGAATTATACACCATACCCTGTATCGTGTTTTTCAAACCCATCGTGACAGCGTCGATAATCAAATTATCACTCCTCTTGAATACTGTAAAACTCGCACCGTGTCAGTACGTCGCATGATTTATCTTGCATGCCCATCATGCTTTGAAAGGTACCCCTTTTTCTCGAGCTTAGCGTATGATATAGTATCCTTGCGCAGTGAATAGTATCTCATGTGTCATTTTGTAACGGGTGTATTTTGCATTCACACCAGCCACACCACATTGGTGTGGCTGTACTTTGGGTACATTGATGGGTTGATGTGACCGTACCTGAAGTACGAAGGGTCACATCGTGGCAGAGAGCCCACGTGGTCATTATACTTAGTTTAAGTACTACGAATACATCTGTTTGCATATTGAGGACAGAGCCAGGTAAATAGTGACTAGCACTAAATATAGAGTAGGTGCTTCTATATTTAGTGCTAGAAGATAACAGTAAATAAATCAAGTACCTCTACATACCACACGTGCTAGAGCCATAGTCCTTGTGTATAGAAATCTTATCTTTACATTTCTATCACAAGGACTAAGGCTCTTCAATACTAGTCTCTTGGAGCCGTGGTTGTTTACAGCCAAAAGGCACAAGCTTGTGAAGCTAGCCTTGAGAGGGTTAACAATCCTAAGACGTTTAAGCTCTTTGAACTTGTCTTCCTCTGCACTTAGTGCATAAGTAGCTTTGCTACAGTAGCTCGTCGACACCTGGTAGCATTTATAGTCAGTCCCGCACCTGGCTTTACGACTACTTCTCTGTGTGAGAATGAGCATCGATGAGATGTCAGCGAGTGACCTGTCACAGGCACAACAGGAAGGGTTGCAGAAGCTGCTCCCTATTCTTGACCCTAAGGCGTGGAGTACCTCATCGCCTAGGGCGCAGAAGAGGTTAACAAGCGTATTAACATGCTTGAAGAATACAACAAAGCTCTAGTCGAGCATGTAAAGGCACAGATGCCTTCTTCTGCGCCTTCTTCCATGGCGACTATGGCGCAAGAAGTGGTCCGCAGACCAAAACCCCTACAAATGGAAGTCGATAAGCTCGACGGCAAAGAAGGTGATAACCTTATGCTTTGGTTCCGACAGGTTGAGTCGGCTATGTTTATAGCCGACATCACCTATGAACCATACCGTGTGGTCTTTGCCGCGGGCAAGTTGGGTGGATTATCCAAACAGTGGAAATTTACATGTGCAAGATGCATTTCCAACACGGGCCAATCTGAAAGTTCAGATGACCCGGCAGTATGCACCGCCAAGTCAAGCACACCAAAATCGGTCACGATTTTTGTCGCGTCACCAATAAAAGCGTGAGCTTGCAGTATATGTGCAAGAGTTAAGAACTCTTATTGCTGACATTGTCATAGACCCTATGCCTGAGGCAGTGACCGTCACGGCAGATATGGAGGACCCGTTGCCAAACCACAAGTCTTCCGGGTAAACCCGTCCTCATTCGGGGAAGCTTTGGAGTGGCATGGAATGCCGAGACCAGCTTTAAGGACACTAGGCCTGCCATCTATAACAACTCATCTGGTGAGTTTATCTATGCCCATGGACTGTAGTCAAGGGGAGGATGAAGAAATCGAGCTTTATGCTGCGGAGCAGCAAACTGTGCGCAGATGTTATATCGGCAAGAGCACAGAAAATTCATGGCAAAAAAATGTATTGCAAGAAAGGCATATTTGGCCTCGAAAGGCCGGCGAACCACGGGTAAACCCTCTGACTAACCGCGGGAAAAAGATGGAGTTGAACCCTTCGTTGTTTTTGGATAAAGCAGTTCTTGAGGATACCAAGAAGGTGCTGAATGCGCAAAGTGGATCACAGATCCTGAAGGACCCATCGGATCCTTACTTTCCTTTGTTGAACGATCATAGCGATTTTGTTTTTAAAGAACCTCCTACGACGTTACCTCCGGATAGAGGTGTACGTCATGAGATTGACTTGGTTTTAGAAACCAAATACTGTGTGACGCGATAATGGCAGCGGCCACGAGAACAATGTGACGTCTTTAACGAGTTCTTTTTGAGTGAGTCATGTAAGCAGGATACCGGCCAAATCGTGTGATACGTTGTGTAGAAAGATGCATCGGCTATTAGATGTGTATGACTATTGAAATTTGTCGATCAGCGCGGTCAAGAGCTCGTCGGGGTGCCGAAAGCTAGACTACCTCGATTACTGGGTCTCGGACCAAGGACTAGACGACCACCCTAAGAATTTACAGCCCTTGATCAACCCACCACTGCCAACGACACTTAAAGCCATGCAATCGTTTCTCTAAAGTCTAAACTACTATGGTAGATTCATTGAAGATTATGCGGTGTACGCATCGATTATCTATGAGTTAAGGGAGGTGGATTTCCACGCTTGGAGATTTAAGTTGAGGATTGGCGACAGTGCGATGACCAAGGCAGAAGACGAAAAGAAATGTTCCAAGCTTCAAGTAGCTTTTGCAATGCTCAAGAAAAAGATTGCCACTGCACCTATCTTGCGATACTTTGGCCAGTCCAAAGAAGCGGTAATTATAGTTTATGCGACTGAATGGGCTATATGATCGTCATTGGTACAAGTCCATAGATGGCCAATAAATCCAAAAATATCATCTTGCCTACTTGCATGACAGGAAGCAATGCCACGCGTCGCTCTATCTTGAGTTGGATCTGTGCTATGTGGTCCACACCACGTGATCTCTTTATGACTAATTACATGTATTTCGGACTTATCCCAATTACTGGATCACCGATCACCCGGCAAGAGAACATCTTCATGATCGCTTTTCCGCAGCCGTCCAGTCGACATTCAGTGCCAAGCACCCGTAACCCGAGTCTTCCAAGCATCATGAATCTACAATCACTGCCGCTACTTCCTCGTCTTCCGCCTTATATCAGGTTTACTCAGCAATTGAGGTCTCTTCTGGATCTTGCTGATCGCGGAATCCAGTCAATCTGGTCAAGATTCCGATTTTGAGATACCAGTTATGGCCGATCTCGAGGTATCAAGTCTGGCCGATCTCCCTCCTCTTCGCCAATCTTAAACCCGATCAAGGAATACATCGACATGGGACATAAAAAGAATGCAACCCGTCCTACCGACGGGTATACAAGCTGATCGACGGCAAACATCAACACAGAAGCAAAGCAAACCCTCCTGTAGTCGATCGTCTCGGCACCAGTGGGGAGTTGGATCGCAAGAATCTTGCAATCGCGGCTTCACCACAGACCGGCCTCGTGGTTTACTTCGTTACTGGCACTTCACTTATACCATCAACAAGTGTGTATAACCGCTGTTATTTTTCATCACGAGAAATGACAGAAGCTTTGCGTCTAAAAGCGTCACCATTTGAAGTTGCTGTGCGAATTCCGTGCAACTCAAAGAGATCGGGGTAAATACACACCTTAAGGTTGATAGGGTCAAATTATGATGCTCCAGAGAGAAAGGAGTCGATATCACATCCAAAATTCGTCAGAAGAGATGAATTACTCACAATCTCCACCCAGTGGTTCACGTGTCATTTTTTTAAGCGCTTCACCACAGCAGCCCTCTGCACTTGATCAACGTTACAGCTGCTTGAGAACGGGCATGTCTTCGACTCGTCAACCACGTAAGTGCTTCCAGATGTTTCGCGTTTGATATCTCTTGTCTATATTTGTGTGGTCCCAGCTATTCTTTCCACTGGGTTAAACCTACCTCCTGAGGGACCGGTCCCGGTCACTCCCGCACTTGTTGCCGATTCAGAGGTCCACCGAATTCGGTGGAGCTGCCATTGTAGTGGTCTTTTCGGAAGTGTACAGAGATATGTGGGTACTTGTGTGGACTGTAAGACTGGAAAAGGAGGACCTACCCTACAAGGGAAGACTCGGGGGAATGTTGACCCGACTTAAACTTTCCAGATTATAGCAGCGTACCATATTACCTCTCTGCCCAAGTCGCATAAAGGGAATACTGAACCACTGATTTAGGCCGCATTACATATGGGATATGTAATGATCAATGCTAGTTCTTCATGGACGGCTCAGACGATAGCTGAAGGGTACGAGGAATGCGTTTTTTTGCCGTTTTGGTACTAGTGAGGCAATATTCCACGATCAAGAATAAGGGTTTATGTCGGACTTCTTTCGGACGTTTAGTCGCATAGTGGGCAAGCGTCAGCAAGCGACCATGGCCTATCGACCTCAGGCGAACGGTACTGCGAAGGGTTTGGTAGGCCTCGGTTCTTTCAAGGTCGACCATCGTCTATCATTGATAGACCTTGGTCTTTAAAAATGATGAAGGAAGGAAATTATATGAAGTTTGAAGGCGAGATGGGAACTACGACCTCTGGATCGGCAGCAAATGCGGGAGTGACCGGGACCGGTCCCTCAGGCTGTAGGTTTAACCCAGTAGAAGGAATAGCTGGGACCACACAAATATAGACAAGAGATTTTAGATTAATAAATTCACTCAATTTTAAATAAATATGGAAAATTAGAAGTAGATTTATCAAATAAAACCCATAATGGTAATGACATTAAAAACATAAAAAACGACTAAATACTAAAAATTTTAACATAGTTTTCATTTTTCGAAGAAGACAATATAATGTCAAACGCGAACAATCTAGAAGCACTTACGTGGTTGATGAGTCGAAGACATGCGCGTTCTCAAGAAGCTGTAACGTTGATCAAGTGCAGAGGGCTGCTGTGGTAAAGCGCTTCAAAAAATGTGTGAACCCAAGGACCAGTGGGCCAAAGAGAAAGGGGCCAACAGAAGAAAAGCTACCTATGGGCGATGGACCAAAGAAAAAGGCCGACAAAAAAGGGAAGCGATTGTTGGATGGGAAAAAGTCGCGGTCAAAGCCCGCTGCCAGCGAACCGGTTGGTCGCCATTCAGAGGAGTTGAGTGCGGTTCCTC